CAGGACCGGCCCTGTATATATATATATATATATATATATATATATATATTATTGTTATATTATCCATTACATTATTATTGTTAAAATCCGTAAGTTTGTTTATCGACCGTCAAATGAACCTTTATAGGACCCCAGGACCGGCCCTGTATATACATATATATATATATATATATATATATATATATATATATATATATATATATATATATTATTATTATTATTATTATTATTATTATTATTATTATATTATCCATTACATTATTATTATTGTTAAAATCCGTAAGTTTGTTTATCGACCGTCAAATGAACCTTTATAGCACTTTCTCAACTCTTCACTTTAAATCTTTAATGCTGTTTAATTTTCTGTGTACCCCCGTTTGCTTGTGATACCTATCAACAGTAGTATTTAATTACTCAGTGTCATAATAGCCATTTTATTTACAGAATCTATTGCAAACTAAGTTGCTACTTTAAGTTTTCTATCGGATAAAATTCCATTGCCATCAATCTGCAATCAATTCCATACTGCCGATCAATATTTTCGATTATTGATATTTGCGATTTTGCCGAAGCAGTGTATGTCCGTACTTCTGGACCACTGCGGCGATATTGGTCTTGCTTCTCAGTTCAAGTTCTTCTAGATTGATGGCCGCAGCAGTAAGGCCTCGTATTACGACATCTTTTGCAGGATAGTTTTTAGGAGTTCCGCGGTCGTCGCTACACCAATGCTTTGTTTATAATTTAGGTTAATATAAATAAACCTATTTTACTATGAAACAAAATTTGTATCTATTGTGTAACTTAACTTAAAGCTTGAAAATTGACTTGCATATCAGAATCAGAAAACGCGAAATTGTCGACTTCAAATGCTGAAAGCCTATATATGATTTGTTCATTTTCTTCATTCTCAAAGAGAGAATCATTTCTACTTACTTGGTGTGAATCCAGGGCTACATGTATCGGGTTTTTCACGACTTTTATGTTGATGTCGCCACCATTGTTGGTGCTTACTATTAGTCCCGCTGGTGCTCCAATTTTTACATCTGTAGCTGCTGGGGTGAATAGAATTCAATTTCGCTAGCACTTAAATCGCACACAATCACAGCACTAGCAATTCTTTATCAGTGCATATCCACAGTTGAACATCATAAAGTGTAGTTCTATAGATGTACAGAAAACCTTTAGCCTATTAGAAACCTATTAGAAAAATGCAAGTAAAAGCAAATAAAGGCATCTCCTTTTGCCATCCACTAATTGCATTGTATGAGTAAAATCGTGTTTTATACTGCAAGCTATAAGCTAAAAAAAGGTGATAAAAACTTAGTAAAACTCTTAAAAAAAACGAGCCATTAACAAATATATAATGACATCAAGACTGATAACTTAAGCCAAAAGTAAAAATACTAAAAGATCTGTAAGATAATACTGTGATAAATATGTATTAGTCAAATCAAATTTTAAGTGAAAAGATTACCAACTCACTTGATGCTATTTTGCTTTGACTTTGCCTTTGCTTTTTACCTCGCACAGCCTTACAATGTTGACTTTATAGTTGCCCATTTCACTTTTAGATACTCCAGTTTACTTCTTCTCAACATCGCCTGCCTTTACAAAACAAAAGATCAACATCAAATTTGTAGCTTATTTTTAGGACAAAAAGATTAGAAGGAGATACTTTGGATACAAATTAATAAATAAATTTATTGCTTATATTATTCATATATTACGTACTAAAATGGTATATCACACTACAATTGCAGTGACATTTTTAGATAATACGTTTTTATTTTAATTACAGTAAAACCTCGATTAACCGGATTAATTGTTGTGGATAATCAAAAATCCAGATAATCCAATGTGTGGAGAACAATTATGTGTACTTATCAAAAATAACATATACATACATCGTTATCAACGAAAATCAATGTTTAATAAGAAATTAATATTTCCTTATGTATGTACATATGTATTTTATTAGATTTTATTACATACATATACTAAACTGCACCATAAATCGTTCAAAAATTCGAATTGTAGGTTTGTACATACATATAACTCTGTCGCGGTTGGTAGTCCGGATAATCACGAATCCGTATAACTGAGGTCCGGATAATCGAGGTTCTACTGTATTATATTTAGTCATTTCAAATAAAAATTTAATTTTACATATATATATATATATATATATATATATATATATATATATATATATATATATATTGAATGGTAGAGTCTTGGATTTGTGTATATTTTGTAGAGTTTCGAACAAGAATCCAAAAATAATACAAAATAAAAAACAAGAAAAGTTTTTAAAAAAAACAATTTCTTTATTTAATTATTTGTTTATTGTCGACGTTTCGGAACTAGGTACGTTCCATCTTCAGGACATCTGTCAAGAAACATGATCTTGATGAGATTTTAGCAAACAATATGTTTAGGAAAAGAAAATAGATTTTTCTTAAATAATGAATTAAATTGTAAAAAATATAATAATGTACAGAAATATGATAATATGTTCAAAATAAAAATGATAAAAATAAATGAGTGGATTATCAGAACAGGATATTAAACATAATAGAAAATTTTTTTTGAAAGTTATGGAAATTTTTTAAGAAAAGGTTAATGACAAAGTTTAATTAATTACCTGTATGTTTGAATATTTGTTAGCACTTTTTCACTAAACAAGCTTTTTTAACAAAAATGATTTTGTGAGTTAATTTTCCGCCGAATAATTAGATTTTGTAAATCAAAATTACTAAAAAATTTGTCTTTTTTAAAATTATTTGAAAACACAAATAATATTGTTCTCTGGATGTTGTTCGATTGGTTTTCGAAAATTAACTAAATGAAACTGGTGTGCCTTTTGTAACACGTGTAAACACTTGAACGAGAGATGTGAGATAGTATGTGTGTGTTTTTATATGTCAGGGTGTGAATACTTAAATTGTTGATCTTAAAAGGAAGTCGATATTAATTGTTTGTCAAAAAGTGTAAAAAATTTAAATATGAATCATGTAATAGGTTGTGATCTGATCTAATGTTGACACTGTTAGAAACATTTATGAGGATGAGACAACTCTCCGCGAATAACCTTCTAAAGATGCAACTTTCGTGATATAAAATCTTTGGAGTGAAATTAAATGAATGGGCGTTTTCTATAGAGTGTTGTACTAGGGTACTTTTGAAATTTTTTGTTTATGGTGGACCACACTTAGTTCATGTTGTCTCATTCTCTTGTGTACATATTGGGAGGTTTGTCCAATATATTGAAAAGCACAGTCATTACAAGAAACAGAATATACTACATTAGTATTGAGATTGGATGGGGTGGGGATTTAATGTTCGTAAAGAATTGGTTGAAGGAGTGTAAGGATGAGCCTGATACTAAAATGTTTTCTTCTAACAAAATTTTGGCAAAATAATAATATAAATCTTCAACGTATGGTATGCTGCAGTAAATAAGATTGGTGTTTTTGATGTTAGTACTGGTATTGGGAGTCCTCCTCCCAATACCAGTACTAACATCAAAAACACCAATCTTATTTACTGCAGCATACCATACGTTGAAGATTTATATTATTATTTTGCCAAAATTTTGTTAGAAGAAAACATTTTAGTATCAGGCTCATCCTTACACTCCTTCAACCAATTCTTTACGAACATTAAATCCCCCACCCCATCCAATCTCAATACTAATGTAGTATATTCTGTTTCTTGTAATGACTGTGCTTTTCAATATATTGGACAAACCTCCCAATATGTACACAAGAGAATGAGACAACATGAACTAAGTGTGGTCCACCATAAACAAAAAAATTTCAAAAGTACCCTAGTACAACACTCTATAGAAAACGCCCATTCATTTAATTTCACTCCAAAGATTTTATATCACGAAAGTTGCATCTTTAGAAGGTTATTCGCGGAGAGTTGTCTCATCCTCATAAATGTTTCTAACAGTGTCAACATTAGATCAGATCACAACCTATTACATGATTCATATTTAAATTTTTTACACTTTTTGACAAACAATTAATATCGACTTCCTTTTAAGATCAACAATTTAAGTATTCACACCCTGACATATAAAAACACACACATACTATCTCACATCTCTCGTTCAAGTGTTTACACGTGTTACAAAAGGCACACCAGTTTCATTTAGTTAATTTTCGAAAACCAATCGAACAACATCCAGAGAACAATATTATTTGTGTTTTCAAATAATAATTTTAAAAAAGACAAATTTTTTAGTAATTTTGATTTACAAAATCTAATTATTCGGCGGAAAATTAACTCACAAAATCATTTTTGTTAAAAAAGCTTGTTTAGTGAAAAAGTGCTAACAAATATTCTAACATACAGGTAATTAATTAAACTTTGTCATTAACCTTTTCTTAAAAAATTTCCATAACTTTCAAAAAAAATTTTCTATTATGTTTAATATCCTGTTCTGATAATCCACTCATTTATTTTTATCATTTTTATTTTGAACATATTATCATATTTCTGTACATTATTATATTTTTTACAATTTAATTCATTATTTAAGAAAAATCTATTTTCTTTTCCTAAACATATTGTTTGCTAAAATCTCATCAAGATCATGTTTCTTGACAGATGTCCTGAAGATGGAACGTACCTAGTTCCGAAACGTCGACAATAAACAAATAATTAAATAAAGAAATTGTTTTTTTAAAAACTTTTCTTGTTTTTTATTTTGTATTATTTTTGGATTCTTGTTCGAAACTCTACAAAATATATATATATATATTTATACATTAATATTACCTAGAAAATCAGGCCTATAAGCATTATTAAAAAAAAATATCAATAATCAAACATATGTTTATAAATCACAAAATTATATTTTAAATACTCTGATTTACACTTACATATCTAATATCAATTAATTCTAAATATAATACAAAATAAATAAATCAATATATATATATATATATATATATATATATATATATATATTATACATAAATGATTTTTGTTTATGTTTTCTGTTGTGAGTCTTCTCGTACTATTTTAATAAGTTGAGCCATTAACACAGATAATAATTTATCTAGTGGATCCATAAACCCTCGTTGCATCCATTTAGGAATTGTAGTACGTGCATGACTAAAACCTAACTTTTGTAAAATGTAATCTACTCCATATGGCTCAATTGACTTACCAGCCCAAGATAATAATCTAGAATAAAAAATAAGATTAAACAATAATGATTAAACAATATCGCTCATTTACAAAGGACTAATATTGATTTTTTTTACATAATACAAATATTTATTCTTTAACTAAGTGTTTATTGAAATATTATTAAAAAATATTGATATAAAAAATATATTTTGTTGAATAAAAAGATTATATAAGTATGCATATTGTTAGAAAATATATTTAAATTTGACAAAATAAAAAATAACAATTAAAAATAAAGTGATGAACATATAAACGCACTGTTAAAATCATAGATAATAATAAGTAATTACTAATAATAATAAATATTCAATTTTGAAGTAACTTGTTGAAAATGGGTCTTGAAGTAATGAATGATGCGATGTAGAAACTTCAATAGTTTCATATCTTTTAGTAATAAACAAATCAACAATTGTGCTTAGAAATTATTAATAAAACGGATGAAACACTATTTTGAAATTTAAAAACTATTTTTGTGGACCAAATATTTTTCAATTACATTTGTTTTGCATTAAAATTCTCACCTGACAGTGGGCTCCAAATGCCAAGTTTTACAATTAAAATCACGCCAGTCTTTGGTAAACATATCAGCAGGATCAAATCCTCGTTTTTTCTTGTCATCGGTTGAAGTATTTCCAGGCGTTACATTTGTGCCCGGGGTACTCTGGCTAGAGGAAGGTTGTTCCATAGTTCTGGGATCTGGACTATTGGATCTAACACCAAAAAGCCCACTCTGAAATTATTTCAATAATAACATGTAAAAAACACATATTTATAATATAACAAAATAATCATAAAACATATAAAGAAATTATGCAATATATTTCGATAAATAATACCCTACCTGTGATCGAACAGAAAATTTTTGAATTTATAAAATATAAATTCATCTTTATCATTAACAAATTAAGAGACAAATATTGGTCATTTCTCATAAAATAAAAAAGCAATGATTTCCAAAGCAAGCATTTTTAACTCAGTGCTTAAAACATTCATAAAACGTTTTCCTAATACATGTAGAATTCATAAAATAAATTATACATTCTACTGTAATGAAATTATCCAAAATTAGCAATAAATAAATCAATTATAAGTATTTATAATGAATGCCTGTATTATATTGAGTCTTCATAATAATTTCAAAAAATCTAGTATAATTAAATATAATCTGGCTGCAGTCAGATATATATATATATATATATATATATATATATATATATATATATTAACAAAGTCTAATAATCGGGCATAACATCAATAAAAAACATGAATTTCTTTCAAAAATTTATTTTAAATCCATACGTTTCGGCTATAATCCTAGCCTTCATTCAGTGGAAACTAAAAATAAAATTAAAAACTAAAACAATTGAATTGGAGTGAAAAGAAAAAAATAAAATAGTAATTAGTACTTACAATTAGTTGATCTTAGTGTTAGATTGGAAATTTAATAATCCATGGTATTAGGATATGGTAATGCACTACACTATGTATTATAAACATTAACTTGAAATTACACAATATTTTCACAAAATACTGATTTGAAAAAATCACAAATGAATAGTGTGTTATTCGTAGACTGGTTGAAGATGTAATGGAGAAAGTCATTTTTTAAAAAATATTTTTACCAAGATTCTGCACATGTGTGGAACGATTGTAAAACCTTTGCGCGAACGCTTTTATTGTTTTGTAAGAAATTTGGAAATGTTATCTAAATAGAAGAGATTTGTGTCGCACAGCGTGTTTGAGTTCATTCCGTTTATTTATTGTCTTTTGTTATAATAGTTAAAAAAGATCCCTCTATAATTCTTCGTTTAAATAAATTTTGTTCAAATTGTAGTATAAGTCGGATTAGAAAGTCCATATTGTGTTTTAAAGTGTATATATGGTCTGCAAGAACAGTTTTGAATTGTTTGGGGTTTTTTTGAATTGTTTTTATGTTGTTGTAACCGTTTATTGAGGTTCTGGTTTTCATCCTATGTAAATTAAATTGCAGTCTAAACAATTTATTTTGATAGACGATTAAATTGCAGTCTAAACAATTTATTTGATAGACGAGATTTCTGAGTCGTTCGATATTAAATGGGTTTTTTGTTTTTGTAAAAATAGTGCTAGTAGTTGTACTAAAATTGGTTACAAGTCGAAGTCCAGATTTATAAAAGTTTTTTTTCCAAGGAACATACAATTCTTTAATGTATGGCAAACTATTACAACCAGAATGAGTTTCTGAGTCAGGTAAATCGTTATGTACTGTGCAATTGTCCATTTTATTCAAAGGTACGTTTCGTCTGTTACTAGTTACGGAATTTATAAGTTTTAGGGGATAGAGGTTATCTGTTAAAATTTTGTAATTAATTTGATGTTGTTGTCCCAAAATGTTTTGTCCGATAGAAGTATTGCGTGGTCCGTTGATTTATTATAGTACCTATTTTCATTTTGAGTGGATGATAAGAAAAGTAATTAAGGTAGCGTCCGGAATTAGTTGGTTTTTGATACCAATTTGTTATTAGTTTGTTATCCATATATACACTTTAAAACACAATATGGACTTTTCTAATCCGACTATACTACAATTTGAACAAAATTTATTTAAACGAAGAATTATAGAGGGATCTTTTTTAACTATTTATAACAATAAGACAATAAATAAACGGAATGAACTCAACACGCTGTGCGACACAAATCTCTTCTATTTAGATAACATTTCCAAATTTCTTACAAAACAATAAAAGCGTTCGCGCAAAGGTTTTACAATTCGTTCCACACATGTGCAGAATCTTGGTAAAAATATTTTTTAAAAAATGACTTTCTCCATTACATCTTCAACCGTCTACGAATAACACACTATTCATTTGTGATTTTTTCAAATCAGTATTTTGTGAAAATATTGTGTAATTTCAAGTTAATGTTTATAATACATAGTGTAGTGCATTACCATATCCTAATACCATGGATTATTAAATTTTCCAATCTAACACTAAGATCAACTAATTGTAAGTACTAATTACTATTTTATTTTTCTTTTCACTCCAATTCAATTGTTTTAGTTTTTAATTTTATTTTTAGTTTCCACTCACTGAATGAAGGCTAGGATTATAGCGAAACGTATGGATTTAAATAAATTTTTGAAAGAAATTCATGTTTTTTATTGATGTTATGATGCCCGATTATTAGACTTTGTTAATACATATGTCAACATCAAATTCAGAATCATACAAATATATATATATATATATATATATCTATATATATAATATATATATTTCAAAGTAACTAGCAGCCCATTCGTCAAAATAAAAAAAGTATAAAGTATAAAAACTTTTATTTATACGTTTCGACACAAGATGCGTGTCATCATTCAGCAACTACAACAAATTGAAAATTTTATTAACTTATAAAAACACCAATATAGATTAATTATAACATAGAGAAACATTATACACACTACAGGACAAAAACACTCAACAAAAATTTATTTAAAAAAATTAAAATTAATAACATATTAGAGAAAAACATTTTTTTAGAAAAAATTATGAATAACTAAAAGATTTGAAAACTAATTTGACTAAAAGTTATGAAATGCAACATTGTGAAGAGAGAAACACGCCCATACCGAGCAAACATACTCGACTGAATTCTTTCAATAGGCATAGGAATGTTTCGATAGGAATGTGAGGGGACGCATCAAGGACAAATGCTCGAGGCACGAAACGCAACGAACAACAGTGGTTGAGCTGGAATTGATCAAAAGGAAAAAGCAGACCATGTAAAAGTTAGAACAAGAAAAAACAATATTGTAAAAAATAATATAAAAGAGATAGCAAATTAACTTTTTGTTTTTTAATAAAATCAATAACAATCTGGTAACTATCATGTAAAAGGTGGGATGAATTGCATTTATTAACACAAGAGGAGGAATTTAATGAAACGCAATTTTCGAAACGTATAAATAAAAGTTTTTATACTTTATACTTTTTTTATTTCGACGAATGGGCTGCTAGTTACTTCGAAATATGTTTCAACGTCGAAAAAACTATCAAGATATATATATATATATATATATATATATATATATATATATATATATATATATATATATATATATATATATATGGATTGATGGTCCATTATATCTTTAACCAGTCTACAAACAACACACTATCCAATTGTGATTTTTTAAATCAGTATTTTGTTGAAAATATTGTGTATTTACAAGTTTAATGTTTATAATACATAGTGTAGTAGTGCATTACCATATCTTGATACCATGGATTATTAAAAGTTTCCAATTTAATACTAAGATTAACTAACTTTTCCACTGAATGAAGGCTAGGATTATAGCCAAAACGTATGGATTTAAAATAAACTTTTGAAAGAAATTCATGTTTTTTATTGATGTTATGCCCGATTATTAGACTTTGTTAATACATATGTCAACATCAAATTCAGAATCATACAATATATATATATATATATATATATATATATATATATATATATATACATATATATATACAAGTAAGAAATATTTAGTATATAAGTTGGCGTTTCTCACCACTCTTTCCTTTTCTTTAACATAGGACGTAATCAAATCATGGAGAAAGAAAAATGCCTCCGCATCAACTGTTACAAATATATGATCCTCAAATTCTGTGATAAAGCTGCATTGTACTACTGGCTTTGAAGCTACAATTAAAATGAATCAAGTTACATCAACGGTTCAAGTGCTCATAAAAAAAATATATAAACACAACCTAATAGTTTTTATTAATTTTATTAACGTTAATAGCACTCATCAAGTCGTAAAGTGTTCTAGACATATAGTTCAATTTTTAAAAATTTGATAAACATAATTTTAAAATTTAATTATTGAATAACGTTGATACATTTTATAATCACGATTTCATAATATTTTTCAAGCAACTAAAACAAGCATCCAAACTAAAAATGTTCATTTAAGATATTTCTTCAACTAGTTGTAAGTGGCATTTTGCCTTAAAACAAGTTGCAAGAACTCCCTGACATGTGTATATAATCGACTTAAACAATAAGAAATCGATATATTAATTTAGGAATGATTTGTAAGTATACTGAGTTGCTATTGAACGTTATAATGTTAAAAACTATTGAAAATTATTGAATTTTGTACAATTTTTTTATTTCACATTATTTATTAAAACAAATACATCATAGGTCTGTAATATGTGATATGCTCTTATTGTTAGTAAAAATTGATTAAACTTCATAATTAACAATTTTCACAAAAGACGTAGCTCTTCATTCACAATTTCTTAGAACATTCTACTATAACTTCAAATAAAGTATTGTTTATCAATTTTATTATTTACAAAGGTTATTAGTTCAAAACCATATTGATTGGTCTTCACCATTATCAATAAACATAATTTACTTGTAATAATTTTTATTTCGATAAAGAATCCTAGATAAATTTCACAAATTAAAAACCTCCTCAAGAAATATTGCTTTAGTATAAATATTATTAGGTTGGTGAATGAATTGGCCAAGCAATTTCTTTGTAATTAATTATATATTTGATTTTCGATTTTCTCATAGACGCTTATAAAATACCTAAAACTGTTTGTGAAGGATCAGTTAATAATAAATAATAAAAATGTTGTAACTAATATTATGTAAAGGTTTACGTTCCGAATAAATAAATTGGGAATCGCGTTAATTAGTTTGGTGAAAACTACTGTTTCATCTTAAGAGACAATTAATTTCGTTTTCGTCCGATTTTCAAAATTTAAAATATATTCCGTGGTTCTAGATTCCCATTAGCATCGATTAGTCCTAAATGAATTTTGACCAACCAAATTCTTCCACATGCAAATATTTTTCAGACAATTTTGAAAAATTAAACAAAAATCGTTAGGTTTCATTTTTCATTGATAAACTTAATTATTTCCGGTATTGGAAAGTTTTTATAACTTACCAGTATTATCTGGTGTGAGAGAAGCCTGTAGATGTTCTGTTTTAAGATGCGCATGCAAACTAGGCAGAGCAAAAATGACTTCTCGTGTGTGATTGAGGTCCAAAAGCTTAGAGCTGCTTGGTGTATTAATCCCTGCACTACGAGCCCTTTCTGACGGATTAGCAAAAGCTTCGGGCCTATCACGTTCTACGACCGGAAAACGATCTACGGCTGAAGTAATTAATATAATTAATGCATCTGAGTGAACGTCTTATAAAATGTGTTCTTAAAATTAGATGTGAAATTTAAACTTTGATGCAAATTTAGATCTATTGAGAATTCATATGTTTTGGCTAAAACACCAGTTCAAAAAAAAAAAAAAAAATATTCGGTGTAATATAATAAAGCACTATTATAAATAACTGCCATTAATTCTTGATAGAAAGAGAACGAAATTTTTAATGTAAACTTTAAGTTTACCAAAGTTTTAATATAAAAATTACAATAATTAATAAAAATGAGAAACTTTTGAGAGTGCATGCATATATACTAACTTTTATACATAAATTAGTTTTACAAAATAGTAAAAAAAAGCCTAAAAAGTTTAGATAGTTAAAAAAAAAGTTACATAATATATATCTTGAACTAATGTATATAATATAAAAAATATCTTTGATGCGAATTCCAGGACCACAAAATTTTAAATTTGATGCTAAATGCGTCCGTCGATCCATATTTTTGTCCATGATACATTTTAGAAACGCATATAGAATAAAACAGCAGTGGCAAACAAATGAATAGACTACCAAATAATTTAAATAATTTGAAATATTTGAGAAAAAAATCTCTTATACTCCAATTCAACAATTACACTGCGTGGTAGTAAATTTTTTTTCCGAGATGTTAAGTAATTCGAGGACGCTGATTCCAAATAAAGTAACAGAACTTTGCTAAGAGCTTTAGTATTTGAGATATACTAATGTGCTGTTTTTCTTCTCTACTTTTTTTTCACAGAATTCACAAACCATGGATTTTTTATGGATTGCCTTATTTGGGTATAATCAAATATATTAGTTTTTAACACTTCTTAGCTTCTCTTTCATGTTCTTCTCAAGCTCAATGGGGTATGACCATTTGCTCCTATCATCTAAATTTATTCTATCGATATTTACTAAACAGAAGAAAAAGTTGGGAGGATTCTAAAGATTTTTCCAAATGACAAGGGTATTAAAATTATAGCATTTCATTCTTTTTTCGCAAATTAACGTAAACACACTAACGTAAACACTACACAATTTTGGCACATATTATGAAGATCCCATGTTTTATGTTGATTCTATTTTAAAGTGGTTGAAATATGCTGCCTTTACACTTAGGTTTTCGGTATTTGTCAAAAACATATTCACTGCAGATGTAACAAAAACTATCTGGATTATGCACACTACGACTTAGAATGGAACCGTTCCGAAAACTGCATATAAAACGATTAGTTATTCATTAAAATGGGATAATCGTAACCAAAATGACTAATGAGGGCAGTTTGCTAAACCACAAAAACTGGAGCTGTTATGAAAAAACGGAAAGTATAATTGAAATCAGCAATTCTTAGTAGATTTGGAAAAAAAAATCTAAATAAAAAGCAAAAGTGCCAATATTGTCAAGAAGTGTTATCTTAACTTATAAATATAATTACCGTCGATATCGCTACCAGCAAAGGCATAATGAAACCACTCATGCGGTGTCTTATATTGCGGTGGAAAAATAACATTTCTCGAAATTCTACAAACGGTGGCCATGGATCTATGTTGAGCAAGTGGAGGGACTTTTCTCTGCTTAGGTTCACTTTCTGATACTCCCAGACCAAACGTTAAAGTTTGCACAATGTGAACTCGCTGATCTTCGAAACCTTAAATTTGAAACAAATCTAATGGTGACTGATAATTTATTTCAAAATAAATTAGAATATAAATATTTGTTACTTTTTTATTTATATAAATAAAATTTGGCTAAAAACAAATATGAATAATTTATATAGAAAAATAAAATTAGAATAAGAAGAAAAAAAATAATACTTAAAAAGTAGCTTACCATCAGTAGAATATATTTCCTGTGATTCCGTTGAAAAATCAATGCATGGTTCTTGTAAACTAAATAGTGCCCAACTTCTGCATTTAAAATTAATACCATGGAAACAAGCCAAAGAAATATTATTACCGCGTAATTGCATAGTTCCACCGAGAACGGTACCTTCAAAATAAAGCAAAATAGAAGTAAAGTAATTACATCTAATCCTTTAAAAAATATTAAAAAATGAATTGGTATTCTAAATAATTAACTTTCTTCTTATAATAAAATAAAATACATTAATATAAAGTACAGTGCATTTATTACTGTAAAGTAATCTAATCCTACCTGTGACAGGCAATGGTATTTTGAGGGTAGACTTGGCTAAGCTGGTGACAAGTCGCAATGCTTTTTGCCAATGCCTATGATGGCGTGCATCTTGTATTTCTGGCCCTCCTGCTTCTTTATCTAAATTTATTATTTTTTATTATATATATATTTATTTATTTATTTACTTGAAGCCAATCGGCTGTATACAGTTAATTGTATAGTAACATGATATAATGTAACATAATGTAATGTTACTTAATAATGTAATCCTATGTTATTCATGCTTACGTGTCTGCATACACATACAAACACACATACTGGCACCTATATATACACACCTGCACATATACCTATATGTAGACTCAAACATACTAGTAACGGTAACAAACAAATTCTAATTAGTGTTCTTTTTAACAATATTAATAAATCTATTTTGTGAAGAATAAAAAGTTTAGGTTCGGAATAATTATATACTTACTATCAGCAGTAAAAGGTAATTTCTTTTTGCTGGCAAGTTTATGTCTACTCAATCCAGATCCAATCTGAGAAGTTCCGGAGGTGGCATTCATGGCTACAGGACGGGAAAAAGCGCGCGGCTGCAATGATGAGAAAACGCGCTTGCTGCTTTTAAATTGCTGCGAGAAGAATTCTTCCAGTTTGTGATACATTTTTAACAAGTCTACAGTCGTTGATTTACTGATCATTAATTGCAACTGATCCCAGCGTAAGTCATTGTGTATAAATATCGTCGCCGGCCTAAATTAAATAAAATCACAATTATAAATGAATGTTATTGAATTTTATTATATGTAATCAGCAAAATAATTTGTAATTGAAAATATGTTCACCCATTTCAAAAACAATATTTTTATTCTGATTATATGTTCTTCACTTACAAAATTTGAATATATATAATTAGTGATTATATATAATTATTGACTATAATAATTAGTGACTCAAAAATTTCCTGATTCGAGTGATTCGAATCAGGAAAAAACCTGATTCGAATCATGATTCGACTCAATTCGAATCAAGTTCATATATGAACAATTATAATTTAAGACAAGAAATAATATCACGTTAATAATTTTATAAGTGAAATAATTAATTTAGTAAGCAATTAATTCCAAAAAGTGCAGAGATTATTACATTTAATAATAATAAACTAGCCACAAATATAACTAATATTTCAAATGAATTTACAGTAAAATATAACCAAACACTTCTCTATCACTAAAGCATATAAAACAATATTCTTAATCTTACGTTGAACAAATGCAGGTTTATATTATTGATTATTTAGATCTAATCTAAGCAAGGGGTTGAATCTAACGTCTTACAAATGACTTAAAATTCAATCCACTACTGTAAAGATTGATATTATTTCATTTGTGTGAATTTGCCATTACTTGCATAATTTAAATATGCTCATTCTGTATGTGTATGAAACTCGTTGTGTAGTTTATTTTGATAATATTTAAAATCTAAATCGCTTATTTATTATCTAAATGAGTTTTTGATATTTCATGAACAAATTTGCTCTCAGCGCTTAGTCAAAAATAATCAAACACTCAAAAACCCATATGCACTGCATCTCGATAAGTCGATACGCTAAAACATATACACATGTTTCATTGCTTCGATATGCTTGAACGTGTGCTTGAAATCGTATACTTGAAGTCGGAATGATTCGGTGTAAGTCATGTGAACTCGGATGAATTCATATCGACTTGAAGTCATGGTTATTAGTGTGTTTTACCATTTGTGATGTTAAAAAATATATATTTTATCAATGCTAACATACTCATACTATGGATTAATAATGGTTGCATATGTTATATTCCGATACAAAATTTTAAATTGATTACCACTGAATGAAGGCTAAGATGCTAGCCAAAACGTATGGATTTTAAATAAATAAATTAAAAAAAAAACTCTCATACTATTATTATTGATGTAACGCCCAACTTTTTAACTCAAACTAAACATATATATATATATATATATATATATATATATATATATATATATATGGAAGCGTGGTCCATATTATATACCAAAATGATAGACAATAATAAATTTCATAAAATATTATTTATATTTCGTTTATTTTATATATGATTAATATCCACGACACTATGTGTTGTCATACTGATCATTAATAAAACGTTATTGGTATTTTCTTATTTATAATAGAAAAGAAAGGTTTCAAGAATTATACATTTTTTGGCAAAAACTACTAGAGAGAAACAAAAGCCGTGTCCGATCTGACACTTGAATTTATTTTTGTTTTTTTTCTGTGCTGTCAATATATGGGCCAATCAGTCCAGTAACATGTGATGCGTGTTGACAAGCCGCGATGCGTGTTGGCAACCCGCTACATCACTCCGCCCTAATGAAAAAGATTGTTTCGCATCTCTGACTGCCATTCTTGAACTTCCTTGTAAATTTCTTTTGGTTGAGATTGTGTGATAAATTGCCGTGTTGGCTTGTTGAGTTTGTTGATTGCTTACGTGGCCCTTCGCTGGTGAGTTAGCGGTTGAGTACATGTGGCCCTTCGCTGGTGAGTTAGCGGCTGAGTATATTTGACACTTCGCTGGTGAGTTAGCGGTTGATTGTATGTGGCCCTTCGCTGGTGAGTTAGCGGTTGAGTGTATGTGGCCCTTCGCTGGTGAGTTAGCGGTTGATTGTATGTGGCGGTTGCCAAATTGTTTGCTCCCTGTCTGTTGCCATGGTGCTTATTATCGACTTATTTACCATGATAGTAAGTGATTTATTGAGCACGTGTTATTGTTGATCTTGAAGTGCGTGGTCGGAGTCTCAGTTGTAGGATTAGAATGTTCTTCTAGTTATGGCGGTTGTGAGCCATTTATAATAATTATTTATATTTTTAAAAATTCTTTTCTTAGTAATTCTTGAGACTTCAATTTATTTTTTTTTTTTGTGCTACTTCAAAATATGTCTTGATCTTCTTACCTTCTTGTATGTGTGTTACTAGTTCACTCTCGGGGTCACCAAAATATGGAGGCTTAGTCCATATTATATACCAAAATGATAGACAATAATAAATTTCATAAAATATTATTTATATTTCGTTTATTTTATATATGATTAATATCCACGACACTATGTGTTGTCATACTGATCATTAATAAAACGTTATTGGTATTTTCTTATTTATAATAGAAAAGAAAGGTTTCAAGAATTATACATTTTTTGGCAAAAACTACTAGAGAGAAACAAAAGCCGTGTCCGATCTGACACTTGAATTTATTTTTGTTTTTTTTCTGTGCTGTCAATATATGGGCCAATCAGTCCAGTAACATGTGATGCGTGTTGACAAGCCGCGATGCGTGTTGGCAACCCGCTACATATATATATATAAATATATATATATATATATATATATATATATATATATATATATATACTTAGTAACTAATAGCAGTAGTTCATTACAAGTTACATCTTATATAAATTTAAAATAAAAAATATGAAGTAATAATAAAATTAAAAGTATCATGTTTAAATGAGCAATAATAATGTCATTATAAATGTTATAAATTAAAAAGAATACAAGCCTTCGAGTGACGGTGTTGGCGCCGCGCTCTCTGCGCCATTCGTCACGAAGTTCGGCGTCCAATCTGCTTATGCGTGCCATCACAGCACTCGTTCCCATATAATCTAAGCGCAACTCTAGTGCCAGCAGACATATACCCATCACATGGTCTGGTTCTGAGCCGGCCTCTTCTCTTATGTGTACTAAAAATCGTATGAAAATAAAAAATATTATTCAGTACAATTTCCAATATCGAATCAGTATGATTAATATTACTCTGTGAAAATTGACAACAAACCATGTGTATTTATTTGGCTGAGTTCAATCGTACCGCCTACAATCCCGCCTTTGGCATCAAGACTTGAACCTCCAAGACCAAATCCAAGATACATATTTTTATGCCCTGTGCTGCCTATACTTAGCCTACCATGTGATCTGAAGTCTTTTGTCATCCACCTAACACAAAACGGTTTAAAAAATTGAATAAATTAACAAATAAATAAATAAGAACTATGTATTTAACATAATAGAAAATGAATACATACATATAAAACAATGTTTTAAATACTTACATCACATTTCCCATAACATTTCCCATATTCATTTGAACACTAAGTTTTGTAAAATTAACAGCAAACAAAACCAATGTCTCCCAAGCAGAACTTGATCCTACATGAAACAAACCAGAGAGCTCTTTTCAAATATTTATAATTCATTATATCATTTCATGTAATATATAATTTAATTCTGAATCAGGTCATTAAGAAACACACATAATAAATAAATATTAAATTTGTTAAACTAACCTTCAAGATGCACATGCTTAGGTAAATCATTTTCAAAGCTGAGAGTTAATTTTTCCTTGTGGGCGGTTTTGTCATTTGTTATTGATAGTAAGCTGGTACAAAATCTGTTGAATTTGTGAAAATTGTACTATATATATATATATATATATATATATATATCTTGATAGTTTTTTCGACGTTGTTTATATTAGTTAATAAAATTTTCAAATTGTTGTAGTTGCTGAATGATGACACGCATCTTGTGTCGAAACGTATAAATAAAAGTTTTTATACTTTATACCTTTTTTATTTCGACGAATGGGCTGCTAGTTACTTTGAAATATATATATATATATATATATATATATATATATATATATATATTTTGTAGAGTTTCGAACAAGAATCCAAAAATAATACAAAATAAAAAAACAAGAAAAGTTTTTAATAAACAATTTCTTTATTTAATTATTTGTTTACTGTCGACGTTTCGGAACTAGGTACGTTCCATCTTCAGGACATCTGTCAAGAAACATGATCTTGATGAGATTTTAGCAAACAATATGTTTAGGAAAAGAAAATAGATTTTTCTTAAATAGTAAATTAATTGCAAAAAAATATAATAATGTACAGAAATATGATAATATGAACAAAATGAAAATGATAAAAATGATAAAAATAAATGAGTGGATTATCAGAACAGGATATTAAACATAATAGAAAATTTTTGAAAGTCATGGAAAATTTTTTTAAGAAAAGGTTAATGACAAAGTTGAATTAATTACCTGTATGTTTAAATATATGTTAGCACTTTTTCACTAAACAAGCTTTTTAACAAAAATTGAATTTGTGAGTTAATTTTCCGCCGAATAAATTAAAAAGCTTGTTTAGTGAAAAAGTGCTAACATATATTTAAACATACAGGTAATTAATTCAACTTTGTCATTAACCTTTTCTTAAAAAAATTTTCCATGACTTTCAAAAATTTTCTATTATGTTTAATATCCTGTTCTGATAATCCACTCATTTATTTTTATCATTTTTATCATTTTCATTTTGTTCATATTATCATATTTCTGTACATTATTATATTTTTTTGCAATTAATTTACTATTTAAGAAAAATTTATTTTCTTTTCCTAAACATATTGTTTGCTAAAATCTCATCAAGATCATGTTTCTTGACAGATGTCCTGAAGATGGAACGTACCTAGTTCCGAAACGTCGACAGTAAACAAATAATTAAATAAAGAAATTGTTTATTAAAAACTTTTGTTTTTTTATTTTGTATTATTTTTGGATTCTTGTTCGAAACTCTACAAAATATACACAAATCCAAGATTCTACCATTCAATATATATATATATATATATATATATATATATATATATATATATATATATATCTTGATAGTTTTTTCGACGTTGAAACATATTACAAAGTGACTAGCAGCCCATTCGTCGAAATAAAAATGTAATAAAGTATTTAAGAACTTTTATTTATACGTTTCAACACCAGATGGGTGTCATCATTCAGCAACTACTATAAATTTGAAAATTTTTACTAATAATAAAACAAATATAAAGTAATTATAACATAGAGAAACATTATACCTACCACCAGGACAAAATCACTCAAAAAAATATTTTTTAAAAAATTAAACTAATTATATATATATATATATATATATATATATATAATAACGGCTTTTCATATAACTGATAAGGCATTTAAACAGCATAAAATTCAATAAAACCAAAAAACTTATTTTATACCACATTTGTTTCGTGATCATTCAACATTTAATGTTTGTCGCATTACTTTACACTCATTTTGAAATTACATAAAAATTTCGAATAAGAGTTACTAAACAAGTAACGAGGCTTAAGTTATTAAAGATAAATAATATATATATATGACCTAGGCGACGACAACCATTTATATATTATACATATTATATATATATATATATATATATATATATATATATATATATATATATGATGATGAAATGTTTTTGGATATCCATCCAATAATTTAAATAATTTAAGAAAGAAAAATATCTTTTTGTATATTGAATTACCATGTTTCAATAAAACGTACTTTTATAAATAATATATCATATTAAAACTTACTTATCAATACTTTTGCCATCTTCAGGAAAAGTATCATCCAAATGCTGCGACTGCATACTAAGATCCCCTAAAAATAAGTGGCGTACTATACTTCTTCTATACCAAGCTTTTGGAAAGGCTAATATTTCAGTCAATCGTCTCATATCATATTTAAACGAGGCTGATCCAATGTCAACAATAGCTGTGAAAGTATAATAATAAAGAATTACTTTTAATATTAATTATTGCCGTTAACAATATATAATATAATTAAATTCATATACTTCAATTATATACAATTATAATTAAATTCAAACATTTTAATATTAGCATAATAAATATAAAAACGCGTACACTACATGTAGTCGGTATCACTGGTTCATAAATATGTTTGTATATAATGTGAAAATTAATTGTTCTACATCCCCAAGCATTTCATGATGAATACCAAATTTTATATATAACAAACAAAATTACATACTTGAAAATCTAATAACTGCTCGTGATTTATCAGTTTGTGTCAATTTCCTTGACCGACTTAAATGAAATTTCACAAACTCAACATTTATACTCAAAGAATCCTTTCTTTCACTATCTGTTAGCGGTGAACATTGTGCTTCTTTTAAACCTATTCAAATCAATTTTATAATTTAGTTTATATTAAATTAGTATTTATATGTTATAAATTATCAGATTTTGATATATATTTACCAGTTTTTTTACCACCATAAGGATGAAATATGTAAACAGAAAAGTCAGCAAGACAGCCAGTTACGCTTAATCCACCAATAGCAGCTGCATTTGAAGCATAACCAAATTCACTATAAAAATGAGATTTGTTAAATAATTTTTTTTGAATTATTATGTAAAAAAATTTAAATTGGTTTTGATAATTTTAATTTCATAATTTGATTCATAAATCTTTTTATAGAAAACATATATCTTACATTTGTTATTAACTAATGATTAACAATTAAAACAAGTATTACTTACTTGCACAATTCTTCCTCCTGTCGTTTTGAACTAAATACTATATCAAGAGATGGTAGTTGAAGCATGCATTCCACTCGAGACACGGGTAGACAAGAAAATCTAAAATCAACAACATATATGATTATAAGAATCTAAATTTAATTATCTTGCAGTTTGAAACTATTAAAAACAAAGTATTTTAATTTATAGACTACCCAGCAATAAATTTTAGCAATAAAATATTGACACCTCTACAATATAGAGCCCTTTCTGGTACAATATTTTGAAGGTCTTTATGAAAAAAATTGAAGGTAAGATTTTTTTTTGTCAAATTTCAATAATATATGCTACTGAAAACAGTTATCATCTTTGGTTATATCAAAAAACATACCTGAATGTTGATGGCTGCATATGAAAATATACTATCACGTCTACTGGAAAGGAAGTGTAAACATACTGCCCATAGTTAGAAACATCATTTATAGTAACTCTACTATTTATTTGTCCTAAAAAAGTTTTATGTTATGTTATATTTTATGTTATTTAATAAATTATAATATAAATAACAGTTAATTTGACAAACAAATTATAAGATCTAATGTTTAAAGTCTAATAAAAAATGAAAAATATCACTCTCAATATAATGATTTAATAAATATAATTTTTGTACATCATTATAATTGTATGAATTATTGATTAAAATATTAAAATATCATAATAAAATACCTGCTGTAGTTAAATTAGGTTTGGTAGGTATGGGCTCCAAAGTCTGCTCCAAAAATTCAAGAATGTGAGGGCTTATCACGGTTTCTTCTGGAATGCTTTGTAATGTTGTCCAAGCAAATAAAGACGCTCGTTTTGTACCGGGTTTTCGACCAGAAAAACTTAAACCTTCTGCAAATGATGACCTAGAATAACTACATTCTTCCGGCAATGTTTTAGATTCATAATGTACCTAAAACCATTAGTAATTAGAAATAAAATACTGAAGTTATGATTTAACTATGTCATACCATTTTGCATTGCTCACTATATTAACATTATAGGATGATGATATACAATCATACCTTAACATCTAAACCTGGTATATGAAATATTGTCAAATCAACTAGTTGTGATAGATAAGCGTGGTTATAGCGCAATCTAGAATTGGTTGATGGCGGCGCTTTATCGCGATGCCGTCTTGATGCGCTCGGAGAACCAAACAATGGAGCATCTAAACCAGCTGCCGAACTTGATCTCTCTTTTTTAATTCGCCTAAAATATAAGTTTAAATCACAAAACTGTCAAAGAAATACGAAATGCATATCTGCTCACTCTAAGATAATGACAGAATAAATAAAATGTTCTTACAATTATAAAATAAATCATTGTGATTTATATACTTACATTTTTATCTCTTCTTCTTTGGCAATATCTTTTGTATGAAGAACACATTTTCCACTGTTGATTAAAACCTTGACATCTAATTCAAAATCTATATTTGGTTCTTGTTGCTTTTGTACTTTAGAAGTATCTAAGTTCTTTGTTTCTGATGATGATGGTCTAAAAAATAAAATGCAAGTCATGAAGTTTACTCACAATCAGTAAGAAATTATAAAAATTAACATTTACACATATAAAAACTTACGTAGATTGAGTAGTTTTACGACGCATTTGCACTGGTGTTCCGTCTATAATAATATTGTCCTCTGCAGGATCTAATATCCAACTTTGATCTGACTCAGATATATTTGCTATTGAGTTTGTACCAGGAAGAGAAGATTGCCTAAGAGAATTAATAAACATCAAAAAAACTATTTCTTACAAACATATAATGATAAGAAAATAGTCCTATAATGATAATAAATATAGCTTCCCCATTTTTGAACATGTTTATCACATAAATATATGATATTACTATTTTTTAATTCGTGTTATTATCTTTATTATTGTAGAACTTTTTTTTTTTATCTAATAGAGTTCCCAGTTCCTAGTTCTATCCAATATACGAGTAAGATATGACATTGTAAAATTTTAATTAACTGTCGTAATCTTTAAGATCCTTTCTGTATAGGTAATGAAATAAACAACTATTATGCATTTTTATCAATAATATACTAGAAATTAATAAACAACAAATGACCTAAGAACGTGAGGTGCATCTCCAAATGTAACACGTTGCTGCCCGCGCACTTTAAGAGAAGCAGATCGGGATGGTCCACCTGGGCTGGTATCTCCGCCGATATCGCCACTCGCAATCGTCTCGAGAACCGACCTAAAGAAATTAAATGTAATTCACAATTTCTTAGTCAAATATAATTAGCAAAAGTATCTTACATGATCGAATAACAAGGCAGTTTTTAATGAACTGTTTATTAGCCACTACATTATTATTACATGAAGATTAAGCTACACAAGTAAACTCATTGTATGATTAATTGCAAAACCATTAAAAGTAGCAATTAAAATTAATACTAACTCACCCATTCATTTGAATATTTTGTTCAATAGTCGGGTAACGACTTCTAAGAGTACTGTGTTGACCAAAACCCAACTTATCCTTGATTGCTGTTGTGCGCATACTTTGTCGACGCAGTTTCTTTATCATATCTCTGAAAATATTTGCATGGTTATTGTTGCTCAAGTATGGAGGTATAAAGTAATAAATAAAAATACCTTCGAAAATCTTTAAAAATTAAGGTTTCCAATTCATGGAGTCTTCTCATTTCATGTTCTATAGTTCCTTGAGATGCACCCAATGTTCTCAAGTCATGGATGATTTTTGCTTGTTCATTCATTTCCTTTTCTATCAATTTGGATCTTTGTTTAGCGTCTATGCTAGGGTCAAAAACAAAAGCTGGCAAACTGTCCATCCATTTGTTAGTATTTTTTGTTAATATATTTTCCTAAAAAACAATTGTATTATTAAAACAAATAAAAATGTGCAAACATTGGTTAAAAATGTACAAATACAAAATATACATAAGTATTGCATTTATTTAACAAAACCATATTGATTCATAGGAAATTGCACATTTAAAAAAAGTAAGGCATTTAAGACAAAATGTTACATAAACAAAATATAATTCTCCTATATGTAAACTTTAAATCATAAAAACAATAAGAATTTTAAAGTTCCTTAAAAAAACGAACCTGTGAGGTTTTTTGGCCATCATCACTATCAGAGTCGAAAATCATTTGATCATCTTCTTCGGAACCTACAAAAATAATAAATCATAAAATTAGCTCTAACATATACTCGTATTTCTTTAAATAAAAAATTTACTTCATTCGGGATTCTGTACTAATTAAGAAAACCTATTTCTATAGAAAAAATAAAAATAAATAGAAATCACTCTAAAAATCTGTAAATATTATTAAAATTGGTAGGTATTTAGTCATTCATATAAAAGGAAACTCTTTTTGAATATTTGTTTCAAATATGTAAAAGTAACATCAATATTAAACAAGTATTAGATATAAAACAATGTAAGAAAAAGTTTAAAACTGATAAAATAATAAATCAATGTTATTATTATAACAATAAGTTAAAAATATTGTACCAATTTTGTGTAATATTTCAGTGAAAAGTTTAAAAGTAAATTGGCTGGCCTTTTCTTTGATAAAAGGTTGTTTATTAGAATTAAGGTATCTGTCATAAATAATTTTTATAAGCAAACAAATTTTTTTGACTACTTTTGTCTCTTGATATAAATAAAGAATGAATTATCAACTTCCCGAAGGAGAAGTTTGTTTTCATCAAAAAATCCGAATTGCTAATTTTATGTTTTCTCGACGTTTCAAGACATTCTGAATCGAATGAACCCAAATTTGGAAAAAGTATGTGTGAGTGTGAGTGTGAGTGTGTGTGTGTGTGTATGTGTGTGTGTGTGTGTGTGTGAACAGATTGTTTGCCGTAAATGGACGTTTTCTCAAAAACGGCTGGACCGATTTCAAAAATTTAAAAGCCACTCGATGTATCTCGATGAGGACTATTGTTTGTCAATTTTGTGCGACGATCGGCCAAGCCGTTTCTTTATAAATCGCAGAAAAAATTTGCGCCTACGTTTTAGCCCGCAATTCTGAATCGATTTTGAAAATTCAAAAACCGTTCGAAAGATATTGGTTCGAAAGAATCGTGCTGATTAGTTTTTGGTAGAGATCGGCCGGGCCGTTTTCTTGTAATAAAGTTTAAAAAAAAAAAATCGACGATTTTTATGATTATTTTTTTGACGGTAGATGCCATAGTCTTCTAGATCATACTAAAATATTACGGCCCTACGACAACTGGTTTAGCTTTAAAAATTCGTCAAAGTTTGCAAAAATTAGTATGGTCTTGTTGGCATTTGTCAAAATTAGAACTTTCATCGACGTTTGCTCAAAAACGCCTGAACCGATTTCAGATATTTAAAAAGCATTTGATGTATCTCGATGAGGATTATCGTTTCTCAGTTTTGTGCGACGATCGGCCGAGCCGTTTCTTTGTAATTTGGAAAAAAGTGTTAAACCTTTCGTCCACATTTAAGCTCATTCTACCGAACCGATTTTAAAAAATCAAAAACTGTTCGAAAGATATTAGTTGGGAATGATACTGTTTAGTTTTAGGTGAAAATCTACCGAGCCGTTTTCTTGTAATTAACTGTTGAAAAAAAAATTTAGGCCGATTTTTATGGAACTTTTTTGGCGATATATAATATGGTCTTATAGAACTTACTGAATTATTACGGCCTTACGACAAGTAGTTTAATTTTAAAAATTCATCAAAGTTTGAGAAAATGAGTAGTTTTTTTGACATTTGTTAAAATTAAAATTAGATGATTTACTTGGTATAACAATAGGGTACTTGGTCTTGAACATAGTAAACCATTAAAGTCATATGAAAACTGGTTGAATTATAATTATTGATTAATTAAAATTATTGATTTTTGAAAATTTGCTTTTAGAAAATACTCGAGTTATCGTGTTCGTTCGTTTGCAATGTAATAAGTCCACTCGGAATACTTATAATCACTCATAAATTAATTTATTTTTTATTGGTTAAGTCGATTATTTACACATATCGAGAAGTTCATGTAACTTGTCTCAAGGCTAAATACCAAACCAACTAGTTATAAATTCATATTAAAACCAATGAAATATAAAAAATAATTAATAATTTGTGTTTACCCGTTAGCATGGTTAATGTATGCCCCAAGGCTGAAAGTTGTTTGCCAACATTAACATCTAGATGGATATCCACACCTTCCATTTGCCATTGTACATTCAAAAACCACTTTGCATTTTCTGAAAATTCAATGTGCACATGGTTATATAATAAAAATTTATACTTATCATATTTAACATATTATTTATAATATATAAAAAAAAGTAATTTTAGGTTTATTAATACAATAAAGAGTTTTCAATTTTTCAAAAAAATGTTTTGCACAGAACAACATATTTAATCACAATCAATTATAAGCAACTATAATATACATAAAACAAATTATATTCAGTATTAGGAATAAAATTAAGATCAGGTTAAAGTGATCAAAATGGAAACAAATTCATATAAATGGACATTTGTAAATAATATTTGTTTTCAACTTACCTACTCCCTGTTTTGCTGCAATTGTTCTGCTGCATACTTCATATGTTCCTTCAGAAACAACACAAAGATTCATTATATTACTATCATTCATATCAGGCTTCCAGTCATCTAAAGATGCTTCAAAATCATCAGTAAATCGTAAACATAATCCAACAAATTTTCCTTTGCTCACTAATGAGCCTGAACTGCAAGCTAAAAAAATAGAAGTATAGTCATTCTCTAATATTCATTCACCTTTGCATACTAAATCTATTCCAAACTCAACAAAGAACAAATATAATTACTCAACAAATATCGGAAATATATATAACATCATTTAAAATATAAATCTTATACCTGAAATACTAGTATTCTCTAATGTAACAACCACAGCCCCTTTAGAATCATAATCATATATTCCTCTATTTGTCCAAGAAGACTATAAGTAAAATATTAAATTAAGTGAAAAATGTATACAAACATTATAAAATCATTTCACATATCATACCAAAGGTAGTGGATTTAAAGGCAAACAAATTCCCATGTCTTCAACTGTTAATTGCAGAAACAAAGTTCCAAGATGTGGTGCACTCAATTGCCCAAATTGTACTTTTTCTAAAACCTAGTATTTGAAAAATTATAGAAATAATAGATCAACTGATAGTAGATCTATACACCCCACATATACAATCTAAAATAATATGTTAATAAAAAAAAATAAGTTTACCTGTTGAGTAGCAGTCAAAACTTCTTTATTTAAATTTGCACGATTTTCATTCCAATACTCATAAGCATTTTTATAATTCAGCCAGACTAATATTGCTCTATCTACAGCCATGGGTTGAATATAAATTAATGGTCTCTTTAATGTTATGAGCACAACCTCCATATCTTCTCGAGCCATTTCATCTTGAAATGCATTACGCAAGCCTAAAAAAATAAGTGGTTAAAAATATTGTTTTAAGAATTTTTATTTTTATAGAAATTTATATTACCAATTCTAGTATTAAAAAATGCAAACTGTTGAAATTCCGGTTCAGCTTCATCAAAAATAACATTACGATGTAGTTGACCAAGGCTTAAGTTCACATCCACCTAATATTGATTTCAAAAATTGTTTACTAAAAGTGTTTGCTTTTAATAAAATAAATTAAATAAACTTTTGTTTGAATTCAATATTATAAAAAACTCAAATTTATCCAAAAGTTTCTTTAAAATATTTGGTTGCAGAACAAGTTTCTTGTAAAAATAGTAAAATATTTGTAACATACTTGCCAACATCTATAAGGTAATTAAACTCATTACAGATGAATGAAAGATCCAAGTTACCTGTGCTTTCCCAAATAGTTTAAGAGCAGAAGATGAACGAGTACTGTCTGAAACAGAAACATTGCGTACTCGATTCGATAGCTGAAAATCGACTGCTCCAGTTTCAAGGCGTACTGCGGAATTAGTGGGCGTAGTTGCGGTTAATTGAACCCTCTGGAATAAATAATAATTATAAACCTTTTAACTCAAGAAAAATATGTATATTTGTATAAGTACCAAGTTGCACAAAATTTATTAATATTGCTTACTTTTATACGAATTATAAGAGAAAATAAAATTTGTTTAACAGTTGTTGTACTAGCTTCATCATGATCTTCGAGCCATAATGGAACAGGTTTCTCACCGCCATAAACTTTTTGAACAACTTCATTGACTTCCTGTAAATAAAATTAGTAACATTTATAGTAGATCTTTCATATATAAATTGAAAACTGCGTTTTTATTTACCTTCATAAAAACTTTCTGAACAAAAACTAAATGATTGAGCATATCTGTTGTAAGACTGTGCTCAAAAGCTCCAATATCAGCAGTAGCATTCAAATAACTTCCTTGGCAAAGTATTAAACCATCAATATTCCGAGTCTCTTCTCTAAAAAGTACAAGTTTTGTAAGCATATAACGACCAAAAAAATTTTCAACATAATCTCTATCTGCTAATAAAAAACTTGTATTATTAAAAAAAATAGTAACAATATACCTGAAAGATTCTTTATTAGATGCTTCTTGATGATCACTTTCTAAAATATATTCAGCCCCAACATGAACTTTTGGTAGTGATATACTTGCTTCTGAAGGTAAATTGGCTTCGGATGCCTAAATAATTATTGTAGTAAATAGAAAATTAAATAATAAATTGAAAGTAGCAATATTAAAAATTATAATATAGCCAAAATAAATAGAAAACTTCAAAATTATAAATGTGTATTCTATTTTGAAAAGTTTATCAATTTATATTTGTATACAAAATTTTAATTTCAATAAACACCTGTATTTTAGTATTAAAACTTAGACTGTGTTGTGGTAAATCTATAGTAAATTTGGCTTTGCTCCCTGTAACTCCTGTACTCTGCACTTTATCCATTTTATACTGAGCTTGTAACGATGGCAAGAGTGCTGCAGTAATACTTAAACTCTAAAAGAACACCACAGATTATAACACTAGATAAGATTAAATATGATATGTGATATAACACATAAAATATCAACCTGTATATTATTATTTTTTAAATAATGTTCATGCAATAATGTGTATATCAAAAATAGTTTTCATTGCTTCATGAAAATTTGTAATAATCAATGAAAAGTAAACACAAACATTTAAGACATGAAAATTGTAATCAAATATACATTTTTTACATATTAACAATAGTTGCATTATTGAAACATTATTTTCCATTGAAAATTCTTAAATTCTATTAAAAAAATCTTTAATTCTGTAGAAATGTATTAAGTAAACATAAAAAAAAACAGAATAGATGTGCTCAAAAAATCCTACCTCCAAATTAATGAGAAACTGCATTACAAGAGGTTGAAGCAATCCCGAAGTTGCTGCAGTTGTGCCAGGTGTTTTACTCCTTTCACGTGGCTTTTTCGTGTGAGCGGTATCGTTGGGTTGCATTGGTGATTGTTTCCCCGTCTGTTGAACCCCACTGCTAGATTCGATGTCTTCTGTGTGATAAACGCCTCCACTTCGAGATATTCTGCCACTCGTACGTACTACACGTAACTCCTAGATAATTAAGAAAAAGCAATTTTCCTTCATTAGTAGAGAAAGTTTTCAACAGTTTCATCAATGATATATATTTAATTAGCTAACTTAAAAGCAATATAACATTTCTTCAACAAAAATAGTAGCCGATCCACAGTGAAACAAATTTATTTACAATACAAAATTCAGCCAAATACGGAAAAAAGTTCATATTGTCACTGTAATACATATTCTTGAATTATAAATATAAAATTTTCAATGTACAATTTATAATTAAATTTGATAATGAATTAAAATGTTAGAATAACATTGGCGTTTTTCAAAAAATTTGATATAAATACAATTTTAAGCCATGCATTACACAATGTTCAATATCAAATTACAGTACTCTAGATAAATTATCATTCTCACTAAGAATGTAAAGAAAAAATTCAGATTTTTATTATAATCTTTGGCTCGATTTTTATTCAAACTATTTACCTGCAAAGTTGATGATAGTTGTTTTGAACCTCTAGTCATCATGCCATGCAGTGCAACAGGATGTTGGGGAATGTCAATATTTACAGCTCCTACAGTCAGTAGTCCAGAGTTTTTATTTTTATTTTTTCTTGATATACTAGAATATAATGTCTGCGATTTTCCAACAGTCACTTTCACTACAGTTCTAAAACAAAAAACATTAAAGTTATATACATTTAATGTGTTTAGTTAAACTACTGTTAGTTTCATCAAATTATAATAAAACAAGTTTTAAAACAGTGAATCACAATAACAATTTATATTATTTTGCTTCATATTTAAACCTCTCCAAATAAAAAATTTCAAATACTGACTGTTGATTTGGAGCTACGCCTTCCAATAGTACTATCATAGTTTTTCCAACTTGCCCTGTTAATGAGCATTCTAGTCTAGCAGTGTGCAATCGCTTTTTACATGTAAGGCTACTCTGAAGACTGGTAATTTCTGCTTCCAACTTCAGATAAAGATTATATTTTAAATAAATTTTAGTCATATAAAAAAAATCCATATAATATTACCTTCAGCCCACTTAATGTTGCCAATAATCGAGTCCTATGTATTCTGGCTATTCCAAATACTACCCACCTAGCTCGCTCATTACCAAAAATGCCTTTAAAATAAATTGTAATTAAGAAAATAGAATATAATGTAATAATTCATAATATTGAATTGAAACCTTTAATTGAAAGAATTATTTCATTAATAACTTATTATATATTTATTTTAGATAAAAATAGCTTTAATAATTAATAAGTCATAATTGCAATAATTTTTGAAAATAATGTCGGTATTGACATATAAAATTCTAATTAAATAAAATTTAAAACATTTTGAAAAGTTACACTCAAAATAACTGAAAACTGAAAATATTATTTCGATAATAGGTAGCTTCCAATGTTCATTTTAAAATTATTTATAACTATAAATTTCATTACAATGATTCTGTTAAATAGATATCTGATAATCAATGTAATGCACAACCAAATCATATTGGATTTGTAATAGTGAAAGATTAAAAGCCTGCATGAAAATATGTTTCACATCAAGTATATGCGAACATTTATATTTTTCAAATACGTTTTCATAAATAAATTAATTAATTGTATAGTTCTAATTTACTGAATAGATTTTACCTAAATCTCGGTTTGTTTGGATTGGTGTTGAACTTGTTTGATCTCCTGGTGCTATATCATCTTGAGACTTTGCTTCAGATACTAGATTAAATTTTCGAACATTTTTATAATGTTCTGATATATCCGGAGCCACAGAAAATCTGTTCAATATAACTAATTTAATTTGTACACCATGTGCATGATATTCTAATTAATTACCTGTGAGGAATTGTTTTAGTGTCAGGTTGAGTTGCATAAAGATCTAACAAATAATAAACTGTTTTCCAGCAATTTGTTGATGAGATACCATTGGCAATTCCTGATTTTTGCTGTCCTTTTTCGGATATAACTGTTATTCTTTCAACAGCAGAATTCGAAAATGAATCATTTCTTATCTCGGTTGGCGACGTTGTTCCTAACAAATATAAAACATCTCAATACTGTTGATATATAGATAAATAGATAGATTATTGTATATATATATATATATATATATATATATATATATATATATATATATAATAGATAATAGGATGTCGATTGTGAGGGTGACTAAATTGGTATTAAATAAAAATATTTTTTTTTTGTATTTTACACACACATACATCCATTTTTCCTTTGAAATGTAAATTATGCAAAAATTTTCATTTTTTGATTACCCTACGAGAGTTAATAATTTCAATATAAAACGATAATTAAAAATATTATTAAATATATTAGTAATTTAAGCATTAATATATATATATATATATATATATATATATATATATAGAGTGGATAAATAGGTATTAATTTGGAAATATGAACAAACAACACTTTTGCACTAATTTATTAAATAATAATTTTCACAAACGTTTTGAGACTAGGTTTGTCTCATCATCAGTGTGTTATAATTTAAAATTTAAAATATGAAAACCTAAATTAGCATTATGTGTTACCCGTTACAAGTCGTTCAATATACTCAAAAAAGAGTGCGAAAAAGAGTGTTGTTTGTTCATATTTCCAAATTAATATCTATTTATCCACTCAGAATACATTTGTTATATATATATATATATATATATATATATATATATATATATATATATTAGGGCGGGTCGATTTGTATGGGTAAAAAAGTCACATAGGCATAAATGATTTTCTTATACTAGGGATCAAAATAAGATACTTCGCCGAAGAAACCATATCTCTAAAATGAATTCTGATGTCCCGTGCATACACCCAAAGATTGGGTCAAATTTTAAAAAATCCTGTTTTGGCTCGTTTAGAGCGCCTCAATAATGTCCAAATGTATGACCGACACCCAGTAACTTTGGAAGGCCGATCTACCCATGCCTATGGTTCACCCCCTGGAACCTCCCTTTAGAGGTCCCCCATACAAAAGTTGCAACATTTTGGGTACTTCAACATGACAAAAATCGGCGATTTATTTTTATTATAAAATTTATTTAATCATAAGATATGTAAATAAAACTATGTAAAACTCATAAACTATTTATTGTTTGAAGTCTTTTTTTGTTTCAAGTCTGGAAATTTTTTTTTGTGTTTGTTTGAAATAATATCTGAAAAAAAATGCTTAAATTAAAACATTTTTTGCTGAGTAAAATACCAAAATGATGATTTTTTGCAATATTTGTATAGGAGTGAACTCCCCTCTAAGGGGAGGTCCCAGAGGGTGAACCCATAGGCATGGGTGGATTGGGCTTCCACAGTTAGTTGGTTATACATTTAGACGCGGTTGGAGCACTCTAAATGAATTAAAACGGAATATTTCAAAATTCAATACCTATCTTTGGGTCAATGCACGGGACATCAGAATTCATTTTAGAGGTATGGTTTCTTCAGCAAAGTATGTTATTTTGATCCTTAGTATCCGAAAATTATATGTGCCTAAGCGACTTTTAAATCGACCCGCCTTAATAAATTAAGGCGGGTCAGTAAATATTTTGTAGAGCAAGGATGAGCAACCCGCGGCCCGCCGCCAAGCATTTCTCAACAACAGATTATTTTTCTAGATATTTTATCAAATACGGCTGTAAAGGCTAATTTTGTCGTCAGTCAAATTCTGGTAAAAACTGTTGTTCGAAGAAACAAGAGCATTTCCTGATAAAATAAATATTAATTTATATAAATATTAACAAGCTTCAATATTGCAAGAAAAATTGAGAACTTGTCCAAGAACGTAGCAACAACGCATTTCTAAATTCAAAATAATTAAAAAAGCGAATCTTATAAAGTCGCGAGGGTTAAATCATCGTAAATTTAAAAACTTCCTGGCTATTTAGATCATGAATATGTCGATATTCAATACTAAAATACGTTAGCTCAATAGTGATGTTATGCTTAAAGGAGTATACGACTCAAATGGTGAATTACAATTGTTTTTGGATATGAAATAATAATTATAGTCCTTTAGGCATTTTGGCAATAAAGAATAATATCTTTTGCAGAATCTTGTGTTTCACTTTTCATATTCAAAAAAAAGAAAATGTGAACAGATTTTAATTGTGACTCCAAATGTTCAAAGCTAACAAGACAGCTGTTTTCTGTAAATGTTTTCTTCGCCATTTAACATGCAGAATAATATAGATATAAAAAATGCATTTTCAGTAAACTTCGAATTTTTTTGTTAATCTTATGTCAGCCCTGAGAAATTTTCGCTTTTGAAAAAAAAAGCGCAAATCAAATTATGATAAATTCTTTTTTTGGAAGTACGTTTGCGCGAACAATTACACAGGTCCACAAAAGAAAAGTTGCTGGATAATAATTAATTCATTCAGAAAAAAAATCTAGATTGAAGATTATTCCAGTTTTTAAATGTTTTTCAATATTTTGTGCTCCAATTTTGACTATAGATTCATCTTCAGCGGTAAAAGGTACATTGGAAATCATATGTGGACCTGTGTTAATTTCAACCATAAAATTAATAAAAAAAATCACCACCTATCAAAGCTGAATAAAACATATCAAAGCTGCATACGCATTGCTACTTTCTGCATTAAAAAAATTAAAATAAAGAACAAAATCCAAAAAAAAAGGCTGATATTGATCAGCTTATATAAAAAAAGCAGTGCCAAATTTTTTATTAAAGTTTTCAAGTAAAATTGTTTTTCTAAATATTATTTGTTTTCATTTTGTATTAATATTTATAAACACTTATAATAAACACTCGCAATTATATAGAATATATACTTTGTCCAATTTTATATTTTTGTTCTGTTCTTGTGGCAATTTTGTAATTTTGTTGCAATTACATCATTCCCGCGCTCAGCTCAGATAATAAATCTTTTGACCTAATTTAAATCAGACTTTTATCTGAGTTTATGAAAAAGCTTCAAATTTATTAAAAAAAAGCAATTTATTTTTATCATGGCTTGTACGGCCGTAACATTTTTTTTAAATTTTGTTCTTTATTTTAATTTTATTATGCGAAATGGAAAACTATACACAACTCAAAATTTTTATTATTTTATAATAGTCACATTGGTAGTCCTATCATTTTTTATATAGCTCGGTAATCGATCAATGAACTATTATCGCCTTTTTTGTGAACGTTTTTAATTGAAATTCGATCAAGATTTCTCTGAGCTTATAAAAAATCTTAAATTTATCCGCTCTATCCGCTGAAACATTTTAAAAATGGCAAGAAAATGGTTATCTTCGATAAAACTAACTGATTTGCAGGCTTATCCTATTGTACAAATATTTCTCGATATGCATAAGAAGAAGTTCTTGAATGTCTCATAAAAAGAGCTGTTTTAGCATTAGAAATTTAATTTTAAAATCAGGAGATAAAACTGTTTTGGAGAGAAAACTGGATTTTTTTTTTCAGAGTATAACATAATTACAATATGAATGTTGGTATTTTAGCGTTGCAATGGTTATATTATCAATGTAATAATATTTATATATTTCGTATTAGTTAGTCATTTCTTATACTAATGATTTTCTAAAAATATTTTCTGTAGCTAAACGTTTGCCGGGTCAGCTAGTATATATATATATATATATATATATATATATATATATATATATACGTGCCGCCCGCCAAAAAATTTGAAAATTTAAATTGGACCGTGTGTTAAAAAGGTTGCTCGCCCTTGTAGAGCTTCGAACAAAGAATCCAAATGTAATAAAAAACAAAAAAGTTTATATATATATATATGTATATATATGTATATAAATATATATATATATATATATATATATAAGTAATAATATATAAATAATATATAAGTCTATATTATCTTCCTCCTATATCATATAAAATCTTTTAGTTTTTCCATTGAATGACGGTCTCGATGAAGACCGAAATGTATGGATAAATGAAGTATTTCAAAACTACTTTAGTTTTTATTTTTACTTGGTGTTACGGCTCGATTCTAAATAACTCATCAAAATATATATATATATATATATATATATATATATATATATATATATATATATAACCGTTAACCGTTGAACCGTGCGGACGTGTTTTTTGAAGTGTCGTAATGTCTCTGACACATTTAAATATTTTGGAATCGGATTCCAAAAAAACCTACAACTGCTGTGAAACAAAACCTTCTGCAAGTGTGGGTGTTTGTAAGAACTGTGGCAAAATTTACCATGTGAGTTGTGCCACAAGAAAAGGTTTTAAATTCATTGTTGGAAATTTGATACAGTGCTGTGAGGTGAGCAACTTAAAACAAACAATTACCGACAAAAAAACAATAATAGACGATAAAATGACAATAATAAAGGATAAGGAATACATAATTCAGAATCTTGAAGAAAAAATTAAGATGCTGCAATTATTGAAGCCAAATGAAAAGAATAAAGAAGTTTCGTCAGCTGCACCCAATATTGATAGTAATACTGAGAAAGCAGCATCTAAGAAGCCTAAACATAAATCTACCAATAAAAACAGTGCCAATGCTAATAAGGTCTCAAAAGAACAGGTGAGTGTTGCAGTAGCAACTGCTTTAAAGGAATTAGACAAGCGTAGAAGCGAAACATTCCGAGATGCGGTTGCCAACACGGAGCTGCCTAATCAATCGACCCAAGCTGAACAACAATCAATTAAAGCAAATGACGATGGAAACTGGACTTTGGTCCAGAAAAAGAAGTCGCCGAAACGAAAAAACAAAGCCATAGAAGGAACAAATGTGAGCACTACTACACTGGCGGGAGTTGTGAGGAAGGCTCACTTGCATGTGTTTCGCCTGGCACCGGAAACATCGACGGAAACTCTAAAAAATTATTTAAATGAGAAAAACTTCAAAAATATTGAATGTGAGAAAATGGCCTCTAAACATCCGAAAACATATGCCTCTTTCAAGGTATCCGTTGCAGAGAGTGAATTGGAAAGAATAAAATCTCCGGATGTTTGGCCAAAAGGAGTCTGTGTGGACCGTTTTTTATTTCATCTGGGAGAAAAAACGAAGAAAAATTGTTAAACTGGTTTAATATATAATGTCCTTGAACATTCAATGTTTATCCAATAAAACGGAGGCATTAACAAAAGTTGTCCATGACAATAAAATAAACATTTTTTGTTTATGTGAACATTGGCTTGGCAACGAGCAAAATCGACCTATATACGTGATTTTCGGCTAGTCAGCTCATTCTGCAGTAGTATACATATGCACGGAGGTGTTGCTATTTACTGTCGGAAAACGATAGAATGTGGCGTCGAAATTTACAACAAGCTTCCCAATGAATGGAAATTTAAAAGCAGGACTTGTTTCAATGCGACTGTCAAAAAACATCCTATAGATCAACCTATTTATACAATAAATTAATTCTTTAATCTAAGTTAATTATTAATTGTCATTAGGTTAATCTTGAGTTGTTCATAAATATCACTGATATTACTATAGTTATATTGTAATATTGTGATAAAAATAATAATTGTATTGACGTAAATTGTAAATATTGAATTTAAATAAAGTATCTATCTATCTATCTATCTATATATATATATATATATATATATATATATATATATATATATATATATATATATATATATATATATATATATCTACATATATATATATATATATATATATATATATATATATATTTTATACACATTAAATGCTGTATACAAAAAATTGTACCTTCATTTAAATTGGTATATCCGAGTTTTCCTTTTACTGTTTTACTAGTAGATCTTAATTTCTGTGCCAAACTCTGCGGTCGTATTCGGAAGCTAGGCGATTGAGAAGTTGGGGGTTGTGAAGTAAAAGAACAAACCTTTTGAGCACTAACCGAGTGAGATATCACAATATCAGAAACTTGACTATTAAAACTTGATACAGGAGCGTCAAGCATTATAGATTTATCTAAAGATCCAATTAACGTATGGGAAGACAAATGATCATTATTTGCAGACACTAAAAATATAAAGATAAACATACTTTTAAACAATATTATAATAAAAATACATTTCTTCACTACAAAATTCACATATTAAGTATTAAATTATAAATTTTAACGGACTATTAGGGCAATATTTCGAAAATTACACACCTTTTATTTTCAATATTTAATTCATTATAAAAAATTCACAAAAACAACATAAGTTACCTAATGAAGAGGCCTCTCTGGGTTGTGCAAAGATATCTTCAGATATGCCATTTTCAGTTGGCATTTTCATATCAGCATGCTGTTCTCTTAATTCATTTTGAGTATTTTTAACATTTTGATACATATTGCTTATTTGATGAAGTAAACGAAGAAGGGGCATATTTATCTAAAAATATGTATTTTCATATACAGTTTATAAATTATATATTATACAGTAAAGTCTGTGTACAAGGACATTGAAGACATTAAAAATATGCAATTATTTATAACGTTTAAATTTAATTTATAACACTTTAAAAATTATTTTTAGGAATGTAAACATTTTTCATAAAAATAAGTTTAATGAGCAAAGCAAAGTTTATTAGTGTCTTATATTTAACTAATAAGTAAGTAATAAATAAATCAAATTTATCTGTATCAACACTAAAAAATAAAAAAATCACTGATGCAATGAGTGATGAACCGGCTCACGCTATAAAAAGTGCGTAACGGCACCCATTTTTAAAAATTTCAAATAATTTTTGTAATTGAAATACTATCTATAATCTCATAATATTTAGGAAGTTTGATTTCACCACGCAAAGCTCCATCACAATTCCAGATGAGTAAACCTGAGATCCTTGTAAGATAAGCAAATAAGTTTGAACATAATAAAATATTTCTGGGTACTATTATATATAATTACGTGTTCAACAGTACTTATACTTTTTAAATTATAAATGATTTAGAAAAAATATATATATAATATTGTATTAAATTAGTTGGGTTAAAAAATATTATCAATATATAATTAGCTAAATATTATTTTAAATCTTTCATCAAATCATTTAATTGAATATCAAAAAAATCTAAAAAAACTACCATATTTGCAATACTTTTAAAGGCAAACATTACAATAAGTGTACATAATAGTGCTTTATTAGCACCCATTGCAATGTTTATATATAATCACTTTGATTTCACATTGAGCTCTTAAACTTATTAATTTTGTTTTTCAATTATTGGTTGCCATTTTTCGTACTTTATATAGAAGTTAAATAGTTCATAAATTTTTGATCGATGGCAACTTTAAAGTTGAAGCAAATTAAACTATTTAAATTATAAAAATTTAAATAATGATTACAAACCTGTTGCGAAATATAATTAATATTCAAACTAAAATTCAATATTGTTGAGGTATGTTTTCGTAACTGTCCTCTAGACAAGTATAGGACACTCTGTCTTCGAACTGCTTCGTCTATGGAAACATCAGCTACTTTATTTAATTCCAACTGTACACCCATTTTTTCACAAACAAAAGCTGGCGTTTCTGGTGAAATTTTTAGTATAAATTTGTGTCCTAGAAGATAATTAGCAAAACATTCATAATAATTTCAGCATAGCAAATTATGCAATACATATCATACCTTTTGATTTTGTATTAAACTTGGATTTTTTCTTGTCAGTTTTGCTTTCACTAACTACAATATCTATTCTCAACATATCTATACTTCCAATAAGTGATAATTTTGTCCCAAGTGCATCCAAGGATGATAAATTATCTGAATAGGTTAAATATTAGTTTGCTTTACCTTTTTTACCAGCCAAACCTATCAAAACATATTTTAAAATAATTATCTATATTTTATAACAGTTTACCTTCACTAATGTTAGGCAGCATTTTCTGTGGCATCACTCCTAAACAAGTTAGCAGTGGTTCAAATATTAGGTGTGCATCCAGAAGTTTTAATGAATCATGAATTGGATACATATTGACCCCACTAGCAGCCATATTATCAATCAGAGGTTCGCGTACGCGACCGGTTTTAGCCATCTATATTGGGATATAATTATTTAATCAGTTTCCTAATAAAAAAACTTAATTTTAAATTTCTTAATAATATGTGCAACTTTACCAAGTCTTTAAATTTATTATCATAATCTTCTTTTGTATCTTGTTTTGCCATCCAACTATAAAGATCTTCTCCAAACCTCGTTGCAGATATTGAGGCACTCCTTTCATTGCTCACTACAGGACTTGTGCAAGGGTTATTACCACTTTCACCTGAAGAGCAGACGCTTCCTACAGAACCATGTTGTTCTTCTCGCAGTGTCCCATATCCTATAATATAAATATTCAACCAATTCAAAATCATGCTAAAAAATCTTATGAGTGAATGAATTCTATATTCTAATATGAATCAGCGAGATAGGACAATAGTTTTCTCAATTAATAAATTACAATAAAATCTCTGTCTCTCTGTCTCTCTGTATATATATCCAAAGTAATTTCAATTTTAACTCACCAGTTCCTGATTTTAGACTTGGCGACGTTAGTACTCGATCAGTAACACCCTCTTTGCATATGTTTGGTTTAATGAAATCTGCAGATATGTTTACTGGCACTCCATTCATTGGTTGCAATGGTTCATTTAGTTCTTTCATTACTATAAAAAGTTTGAATTGTAGAAATATAAGTTCAAAGAATTATATATATATATATATATATATATATATATATATATATACATATATGTAAAATTTCTATGATTTAAAAATAATATAAATGGTGTTACCATATTTAGATTTATTATTATTGAGTAAAGTAGCACATTCATCTGTCATTTCTGTACCTTCGACTTCAGTCTCATCAACGAACAAATTTTCCTGAAATTTAGCATGTAAATTTCTATTTATGATAATTGCAATTTTTTTATATATGGGCACAAAAGTAAATTTTAACTATTAATATTGCTACAAAATTACTTGTTTTAAAATCAAAGCATTATCATTTTCAAAGTAAATAAAGAAAAAAATAATAAATACTTTGTATCAAATAGTTACCTCATCAGTCTCAGGCATAGAGATTGTAATATTAATAGGTCGTACTAATTTAGTTTTATATTTATGTTCAAGTAGTAATGGAGTATATAAAACATTTTTCCACTGTCGACTTAATACAATCACGCCCTAAAATTTGAAAAATTTAAATAGATTACATATTTTATTGATAAACAACAATATTTTCTCTATGTAAATTAGTGCGCATATATTACATACTTCTCTGAGTGTAGACAGCAAAGGTAATTCTGATTCTCTCAGATTGTTTTCAACAGCTTTAACTTCGCCAAGAAGCACATATTTTTGCAAAACACAGCACAACTGACAAGACGGATCTTCTTGCAAAGTTTTTGCAAGTGGTGTTAGTTTACCATATCGGCTCTAAATTAAAAAAATAAATGAATTTGTGAGGCACCAATCTTTTAATCAAATGGAAAATGAAATAAATATATAAACATGAAATATATATATATATATATATATATATATATATAAACCTATTAACTATAAACAATATTTTATATTATTTTTATTTAATATTATTATAATACCAATCGATATCTTCTAATAAAATAAAATTGATTGTGATGATGTACTGGAAAAGGCCTGTGTGAAATGGAGCGAATCTGCAATGGAAGCAAGGATAGGTCAGGAATTAGGAAGAGTAGGTTATAATATAGTAATTCAAAAATACATCATAAATAAAACTTCAAATAGAATTAGCTAAAAAACAATATATTACATATTTAAATAGTGATAATTTTTTCAGTTCATACACACATTAAAGTTCTATACCAAAAGAATTAAGTAATCAGAGCACCAATTTAACACAACAGTTACTTCCAATAACACTTTAATTATTACCATTAATTAGCTTTGTAATAATTGTATGGATGTCTGAAATTGCTTATATATTAAATGTTAAATATGAGCAATACAACACTCAGTTTTTTAACACACACTTTAATTAATAATTACAGACGTTTCGAGACCATGGCATGCCCCATCTTCAGTGTAATTTCAAAAACAGTTACTTATATACTACACATTCTTTAATATTTTATTTAAATTACATTTAATTTTTAATAAACAAAAAACACCAACTATTCCTTGCAATGCTTGACTCTTTACAAAAAAAAAGGTTGTTTTTGAAATTACACTGAAGATGAGGCATACCATGGTCTCGAAACGTCTGTAATTATTAGATAAAGTGTGTGTTAAAAATCTGAGTGTTGTATTGTTCATATTTAACATTTAATATTCGTTCCACTGATATCACAAAATTTTATGACATATATATATATATATATATATATATATATATATATATATATATATATATATATATATAAATATATATATATATATATATATATATATAAAATGTGTGTGTGTACCTTAACGGGAATATGTATAGAAGGAACATCAAGAGCATCAGCCATGAGACAAACTACTACAGCAGTTCTGCGTCTATACATAGATTTGCACATAGTCATTGTTTTTATAAAAAATCTATTACTTGGATTCATCCAGGCATTGATAGCTGAAGAAGCAGTACTTAGAAGATTCCAATCCAATCTAAAATCATGTGTAAAATACAAAACAATAATAATAATATTATATAAGAACTAAGTAGTATTTACCTAGTAAAGTCTAGCTTTCTAGTAATAGGTGCTCTGGGTGGTGCAGCAAAGTTAAACCATACCGTCTTGAATTCAATCACACATGATGAAGTTTTTCCATTGTCATCTATCAAATGTATGAAAATAAAATTCGATTACAAAAAAGTAAAACTATAATTTTTTTATGTAGAAGTATTTATTTTTATGTAGAAGTTTTCATTTGTGGATTTTATAATACAATTATAAATATTTATGTTATAATTCAGATATATATGTTTCATTATTTCAATAATTTTGATGTTGAAATATGTGAGATTAAATCTTCAAGGCAATACACCAAATACAAATCAGAGAAATTTATAAAATCTTCATTATTTCCATATGTTTATTATTTCATATATTATCGTATGTCATCTTTAGTGGACTACAAATTGAAAGAAACAGAATATAAAATAACTAAACAATGTGACAATAAAACATAAATAAATAGTAATATAGTGTAAAGGCTTACATGCAAATTGGAATGTTCCTAATTATTCAACGATAATAATAATTCACAATAGCATTACTAAACCATTTTTTGTCAGAAAAAAAAAAACGATTTTAAGATGTAAGTCTTTACACCATATTACTTCTGTATATATTTGTTTTAGTGTTGTTTTATGTTTTATTTCATGGTTTAGTTATTTTATAATCTGTTTCTTTCAATTTGCAGTCCACTGAATACGTAAGATAATATATTGAAATGTGTGAAAATAATAAAGATTTTATAATAAATAAGAGATACACAGTCCTGAAGATTTATTCTGACATATTTCAAAATTAAAATTATTAAAATAATCTTTGTGTGTAATATACCATCATAATAGTGATACCTTTTAATACAGTACTATTTTGATTATTAGGTATTTCAAATCCAATACTATTCATAGTGTTCTTCCTGTAACTTGTTGGAGTAGGAGCCGTACTTAATTGGCCATTGTGATAAGACTTCTGTTCAGGCATTGGAGTGCTACTTGAAATGTTCTCTAACTTAGTATTATCAGTACTCTGTTTTGAGTGTACTGAATCATCATAAAATACTTCACTTTCCCTGCTTTTATTACCGTTTTGACCATTTTCATTATTGTCACGCTGGGATCGTTTCACAATCTGAAAATATAAATATTGTACACAATATATATATAAAACTAAATGCAAATTAACGTGCAAAGTAAAATATCCGCTGAGGATGCATTTACATTTAAATAAAAAAAAAAAAATAAAAGTGAACAAAAATAACGGTAAAAATATAGTCAACATAGTCAACAAAGTTTAGTGTCAATACTTTCAGTGGATATATCTTGCATGCACTAAATGACACATAATAAATTAAAATATACTATTCTTTTTGAAATGTAGAATATTACATAGATTTAAAAATATGCATATACTATTATAATAAAGTAACAAATACCTTAATAGAAACACCTTCCAAACCACATTCAAACATTATAAACCCCATTGAATTGTCCAATAAGTTACCATTAGAACTTCCAATGTCAGTGGCAAATGTTTTCAACTACAATATAAAAAAAACTTTTAAATAAGAGTACAGAACAATATAAAAAAGACATATTTACAGGAGTATTTTCAGCTTGATTCATTTGCTGATAGAACACTGATGAAGGGACAGCAGATGATATCCTCACGCATGTGAATAAAACGCGAGAGCAATGTGAAGGAATTGACGTAATAATCGCATCCTTTAAAATCGAACTCTCATTCCGTAAACGTCTAAGCTGTGTATGTATTCTTCCTGGAAAACAATTTATTGGAAGTTGTAGAAACTATGATGTGCAAAAAAAAACAACAAATTTATCAATAAAGAAATCAAATAAAGCAAATGTATTCTGAAGATCCAAATTTAACTATATATATATATATATATATATATATATATATATATATATATATATATATATATATATATATAGAACCAAACAATAAAAAAATGAAGTGCAATCCACATGTTTCAGCTATACTCCTATATCAATATTAAAAATAAAAGCAACATTTATGCATGATATAAAGTTATAGTATACTAAACTATGTAATAAAAGTATTACAATTGTTTTATCAATATAGACATAAAAATAAACTAGTTGGCATTGGTATTTTGCCTTGAGGCAAGTTACATGAACTTCCCGAAATGTATAAATAATCGATTTAATTAATAAAAAAATAAATTAACTTATGATTAACATAACATCATACACAGTTACATAATGAGTTACATATGAGTGACATAACAAGCACGTTAACTCGGAGTAATTTTAATTTTAACAAACGTCAAAAAACTACTCATTTTCTCAAACTTTGATGAATTTTTAAAATTAAACTACTTGTCGTAAGGCCGTAATATTTCAGTAAGTTCTATAAGGCCATGATATATAACACCAAAAAAAGTTCCATAAAAATCGGCTTAAATTTTTTTTTCAACAGTTAATTACAAGAAAACGGTTCGGTAGATTTTCACCTAAAACTAATCAGTATTATTCCCAACTAATATCTTTCGAACAGTTTTTGATTTTTTAAAATCGATTTGGTAGTATGAGCTTAAATGTGGATGAAAGGTTTACCACTTATTTCCAAATTACAAAGAAACGGTTTGGCAGTTCGTCGCACAAAACTGATGAACGATAGTGCTCATTGAGATACATCGAATGGCTTTTAAATTTCTGAAATCGGTTCAGGTGTTTTTGGGAAAACGTCGATCAAAGGTCTAATTTTGACAAATGCCAAAAAAATGATACTAATTTTTGCAAACTTTGACGAATTTTAAAAATTAAACGACTTGTCGTAGAGCCGTAATATTTTAGTATGATCTATAAGACTATGGTATCTACCGTCAAAAAAATAATAATAAAAATCGTCGAAAAAAAAAATTTTAACACGTTATTACAAGAAAACGGTCCGGCCGATCTCTACCAAAAACTAATCAGCACGATTCCCAACGAATATCTTTCAAAAAATTGAATTTTCAAAATCGATTCAGAATTGCGGGCTAAAACGTGGACGAAAAATTTTTCACTTTTCTGCTATTTATAAGGAAACGGCTTGGCCGATCGTCGCAACAAAAGTGACAAACAATAATCCTCATTGAGATACATCGAATGGCTTTTAAATTTTTGAAATCAATCCAGCCATTTTTGAGAAAACGTCGATTTACGGCAAAAAATCTGTTCACACACACACACACATTTTTTCCAAATTTGGTCTCATTCGATTCAGAATGGCTTAAAACGTCGAGAAAACATAAAATTAGCAAATCGGATTTTTTGATGAAAACAAACTTCTCCTTCGCGAAGTTAATAAAAGGTTTTACCCACCAACATTTAGTGTAACAAGTAATTCTTCTTGCTGCATTTCGGATGTTTCAATATAGTCTGGCTCACTTGGTAGAGCATCTTGGCTCGCTCTACTGGGCAGATTCCCAGATATAAAGGCGCGCGGACCTCGCATTAACCCCGTAACTTTCTTCAATCCCCGATTTGGAGCAGTTGGTCTACTTAAAGTCTGTACGACTTCTTTCGCCTAAAAATAATATAAGACTAACTTTTAAAGATTCTGCACTCTAAATATCTACACTGCATATTGGAATGCAATTTACACATAACTATGAAATATTTATTGTATTTATATCAATCAAAAAAAATATTTTATTCATATATTAATTTGCATAAGGCTGGGCAAAATAAATTGATTCCAATGAAAAAGAAATATATAAGTAGAAATATACAAAAATTATAAGTAGAGATATACAAAAATTATTATAAATTAAAAATTACAAGCTATACAATGTAAGTTCACCTGCTTGCCAATGTGACACCTTAGCGTTACACTTTCAAAACAAACTGCTAATAGAGAAGCACAAGTCAAATCCTGTATATTATCTAGAGCTGCGAAGGAAATCAGTTCTTCAACTACTGATGTTTGAAATATGGTAATATTTATCTGGCAACAAAATAGAAAAAAGATTTCAAAATCACTTGGTTTTATATTATAAAATTCTGTTAAAAAAAGTTCAATGTAATTTTGCATGTAATTATTATATCCTTATATATATATATATATATATATATATATATATATATATAATTATATATACATATATACATATATAGACATAAAATAAAAGTATATATATATTTATATATATTTTATTTGAGTTTAAAAATTGGGCGTTACATTCAGTTGATGAAGGCTAAGATGCTAGTCGAAACATATGGATAAATAATATATATCAACATCAAATCCAAGACTATACAACAATATATTATGTATATGCATGTATATACATACAGATATACATGTTGGCATATAATGTACACAACTCTTGAAATAGTTAATAATTATGATTCAAAAAAGAAATAATAAATTAAAACATGATTAATTTAATAGATTCAATAATTAATAGCAGCATTATTTACTTAATATTTATTTTGCGCTTGAACTTCATCAGCATAAATCAAGCAATTAAATTAAATGATTATTCTAATAATAAGATACAAGTTTTAATTTAAAATTTTCCTAATGATACTTGAAAGAAAACTATAGAATATAGTAGAATATATGAATAATGAAATAATAGTGATCATTATTATAGCAAAAAGACAAAAAAAAAGCTCTAAATTTCAAAATTCATACTATCACTAGTATTTATTTAACTTTCGATTAAGAGTCGCTTGTGTGAGGTTTAGTGGCATTCAATCTATATACCTTAGGAAAAATGATAATTCCTTGAAGCTGTGTTGATATGCATTCTTCATACACATTAGTCTGAACATATTCCTCTTTTGGTCCTTTGCCACTAGTCATTTGACGTTCAGTTGTACTGTGTTTAGAATTGCTATGTACCTGTTGATAAATATAAATTTAAATATACAATAGGTAGTATTGCTCTAGGGCAGATCTGTGAGCTGAGTTAAACTCACAGTTAAAATTTTTGACAATTATCAAGTAACATTTTTTAAAAGTTAATTACAAAAACACGAGCCGGCCGATCTTTATCAAAAACTAATCAGCGCGATTCCCAACCAATATCTTTCAAACGGTTTTTGAATATTTGAAATTCAAATTGTGGTGATTTAGAATTGTGAGTTAAAGAAAACGTGGACAAAAAATTTTACACATTTTTGGTAATTACAAAGAAATGGGTCGGCCGATTGTCACGCAGAATTGTGAACCGCTAGTCCTTCCTCATCGAGATACATCGAATGGCTTTTAAATGTTTGAAATCGACGAAAGGTAAAAAATCGTCTCACGTACACATACACTCAGCCATACATACATACATACATACACACACACTCATTCGATTCAGAATCGCTTGAAACGTCGAGATAACAAAATAAGCAAATCGGATTTTTCTTCTTCGGAAAGTTATTAAAAATTAAGAATCGGTCACAACAAATCTTTCCAATGGAGACATTTGTATCTAGACACTCATTTCATATTGCTACACTTTATTTATATGTATTTTATATATATAAAATTAATAACAATATGATTCAAAATATGTATCATTCCATAAATCAAATTATTACCTGAGACCAATAACTCAATGATTCATCTTTCTTTAATATATTAGCATCTTGTACTTTTCCTACACATGATGCATGCAAATGATTGACTACAGTAAGAAGATGCAAACTAGCCATTGTTGGCGTCAGGCTGTCAATCAGCCTGGAAAATAAATATAGAAATTAAGTAGAGTCATAGATTGAACAAATATAAATTAAACCATATAAACCTTTGCAAGCCTTCTAGCACAAGTGGAGTTATCATAACATCTACTCCCCCTTTGAAGCGCACAATACAAGTGCTTCGTGATACTGCTTCTGTTTGACAAGCTAAAAATTCTCTATCAGAGTTTGCTCCTTCACCTATATTAATAAGTATATCTTAGTAAAATATAAATTTGAATGTGCCTACATTCATGTAGCATTTCTTTCTTTCTAAACCAATTCTTCTTCACAAAAAAATAGTTCTAAATAATCCACATTAACTTTGAAAAATTATGCTTAAACTTAATTTCTATAAATATTATTATTGTTGTATAGAATTAAGCTTGATTAGAGCAGGTAGAACATTTTTACCTATATGATCTGGCTCTGATTCACTGCTAGCCGCGAGCAAAATAGAACTATCCCATGTATATGGATGAGATTGCACGCCTTGAGGTGTTTTACGATTGGTAGGCGATGAATCACTCCTATCCACCATGCGCAGGTTTGAAAGGCCTTCGACCATTGTATCAAAATGCGGTAAATATCTGGAGCCTAGTAGTCCAAATTATATAATAGCATTGCATACATTAATGAGTCAATATTTTCTTGGTATAATATACATATAGTCATCAAATATGGTAATGTGATTATAAAGTATGCAAGATTTATGTGCAACCACAAAAACTCAGTTACAACCTTCCTTAATATAAATAAATAAAAGTAATAGAAAAAAGAAAAATAATAAGTAACAAAAGTAATCTTAATAAGTAAGAAAACCTACTGGAAAATGTAGTAATAAACTGTAAAAATGTTATTTTAATCTAAAATTCAGCAAAGTATTTTTTCCTACATGTCCAATAATATGTTATTATATGCAATATTAAAGTGTTTATATACCTATGTAAACCATGCATCCCTCACTATTTTTTCTAAAAACTGGCATTGAAAAGGCATCTGTTCCAAAAGGTAATGAACTTGTAGTCCATTTGGAGCACCGGACCTGCATGTGTGAATACATACATTAGTTTTATTAGTTTTATATGAATATTAATATTTTAACTCAATTGATAAGATTTAGTATTGAACAAACATTATTTGCAGAAGTTATATTTTAAAATAATTATAAATACAAAATATGTATAACTAATAATAGCTGTAAGTTGGTAAGTGATAATTTAATACAAGCAACGAACGACTTAAATATTACACCCATATGATACTTGCCATTTTTTATAAAGACATAAAGCATATCATACCTGTGCTAAATGTGTAACATAACTGGCCATAAGAAGCGGCGAATCAATAATAGGTTTATTTCCTTGCATGTGTAGATTAACTAATGTGATGTCCTCTTGTGATGACAAAGCCGATATAAAAGAACTGCTTGAAGCAGATTTTGAATCCGATGAATCCATTTCATGGTTATTCTGAAAACATGTAAAATGTACTTTAGCAAACATTGCAAAAATGTCGTATAAATTAACAAATATGTCTATCATTTATGTTTCGATCATATATGGCCAAAGTTAAAATTTAAGTTGCCTTCAGTTATGAATGCTTTTGCTTTTTGAGAGACATTTAAATAACCTAATTTAAAACATGTTTTAACTGATAATGAGTTTATTTTCATATTTAGTGCTACTATTAAGAAATACAGTATATGCAAACAACAGTGAACAATCAGTTTTAATCATTAAAGTAAAAGATTGCAAACATATTTTATCGCGACTTATATAATATATTAAATAATATAAAATATAACAATCATTTCTACTTAATAGCTCATTTAATACCTCGCGGCAATCTTCTATTGTGCTAACATGAGCAACCATAAACCCTGTACAATTTGGTGAAAGGTTTTTATAGATGAGAAATAATAATGGGCTAAGGATTGATCCTTATGATGACTTGCATGATTTGGTTCAATTTGATTCGAATTAGACATCGGATGATTCACAATCGGCTTGATTTCAGTGATCATTTAATTCAAATTGATACAGTGAGATCCCCGCATAACGTACGCCTCGCACAATGGACGATGTGCATAACAAACTTTTTTCGCTTCACACAACGTACTAAATTGTTGTCATTAGTAGTCAAAAAACACATGTTGCTTAAATTAATTCAAAGAGTGGACCTTACAAATTTTTGCTCCGCTGTGAAAATATACTTGCTAGAAAAAAACTGCCGACAGTTTGTTTTCTAAATGCCTTAATTATATGTAAAAAAAATCTTATTTTCTATGACCACATTGCAAACTACAGAACAAATTAATGCTATTTTCATATATTTGTATGAAAAAAGAAACTTTCTCTCAGAGCGAATTAAGTACGTAATGTGGTGTATCACTGTATATATATATATATATATATATATATATATATATATTTAATCACATTATTCAGAAATTATAAATAAAATATTACTTTTTTATCTTACATATATTAAATATGTAATACAGTTTTGATAGTATTTTCACTTGTGTGTTCCTCAGTTCAAATTAAATTGCATGAATACAGCAATCTCCTATTTATGTATATATATATATATATATATATATATATATATATATAACATACAATTTAAAATTGTTGTAATATATATATATATATATATATATATATATATATATGTATATATATACGAGGTGTGTTCAAAAAGTACCCGGAATTACTAATAATTAAATTTCGCGGGTCTGGAGTGTCTGATTGTCAAAATTTTTTTTTTATTGTGTTGGTATACATGCCCCTAAAGTATGATGAAATTTTCAGCTATATTCACTGTTTACTTTGTCTGTGGTAGTCGCTAAGGTTCGACGTGTTTTTCTGAGCTCGGCGATTTTTACAATGGAAGAATTGAAAAGTCAAAGAATTTGTATTAAATTTTGCGTAAAAAATGAAATAAAGTGTTGCAAAGTGCAAAAATTCACCAGATATGGCTCCGTGTGACTTTTTCCTATTCCCAAAGTTGAAGAGACCCATGAAAGGACGGCGGTTTTCCTCGATTGAAGAAAATCGCTGAGAGTGCTCAAGGACATATCAAAAAGTGAATATCAAGGGTGCTTCGAAAATTGGAAAAAACGCTGGCATAAGTGTATTATATCTGGGGGGGACTACTTTGAAGGGGACCACATTAATGTAGACGAATAAATAAATATTTTTTTGAAAAAACGAAAATTCCGGGTACTTTTTGAACAGACCTCGTATATATTTTTTTTTGTAGATCTTCGAACAAAAAATCCTAAATCTTATCAAGATTATGTTTCTTGACAATGTCCTGAAGATGGAACGTACCTAGTTCCTAAACGTCGATAGTAAATAAATAAAGAAATGGTTTTAAAAAAAACTTGTTTTTTTTTTATTTATTACTTTTTGGATTCGTTGTTGGAAGCTATATATATATATATATATATATATATATATATATATATATATATATATATATGTATATATATATTTATTAGCTTTATATGAGTTTTAGCTCTTAATATTAACTTTTAGATAGTCCAATCAAACTTTGTATGGAAATAAAATTTGAAAATTGAAGCATGGAAAAAAATTTGAAAATTGAAAAAAAAATTTTTGGGAAAATTCGACGCTCTGCAAAATTTTTTAAAAAATTTTCATTCTATTTACATACAAAACTTTGATTGAATTGCGCTCTAACTAAAAGACAATATTAAGAGCTAAAACTTTCAGAGAATTGTTTTTTATCAATTTGGAACCATTTGAGCCATTGGGAGCAAGGAAATTCGAAAATGTCCATATTAAGGACCACCCTAATATATATATATATATATATATATATATATATATATATATATATATAATAAACATAATAACATACCAAAGTGTCTTGTTCAGCAATTTTTCTATCCATAGGATAAAGAAAAACATTTGAATTGATCTCATGATCGCTGCAATGAGTTGTATGTTTCGTTGCTTTCCTACCAAATTGACAAACTCCTGAAATACCATCAGGAACACCCAACTCTCTCTTAACCTCCATCTTTTTGTCTAAGTTTGTAATACTCAAATCACTTGCACATTTTTTCCTAAAATTAATAGATTTATTAACATTCACAAATAAGAAAATAACAAAATTTAAGTAAAATTTTTATGTAATCAACTGCTCAAATAAGTTTGTTATAGCACAAAAATCCGATTCGTTAAATGTAGTTACTTGAACTCAAAATGTTACTCATAATTTGTTTATATATATTTTACTTAAAAAGCGGTACTAATTCAAAAGTATTATATACCTATTATTTCCATTAAGATTAAATTGATCTGATGTCAATGCAGTATGTCTTAAACTAGCAGTTCTACTTGCTGTTAAATCTTCATCTGCAGAGAAAAAAGCTTCCGAATGACTGTCACTTGTCATAGAAATTGTTCTTTGAACCTTAAAATAAAACAAATAATTTATCAAATACTAAATTAGCTGCGTAAAAATATTTTCATCAAAATTTACATTTTGCCTAAATTTTTCTGAACAATCGGATCCTACATTCAAGAGTAACTCTGATTCCAAAACATTGCTTGTTTCTCCATTGTAGTCACTGCCTTTTATTGTAACCTGATGAATAAATGCAAACAATTATATATATATATATATATATATATATATATATATATATACATATACATGATCACTAACTTCATCAGAGCCAATTCCAAAATAATCAACAGCAAGTCTAGAATCAGATGCACTGCTTTTGGGGGCATTAGTTTCTTGAGATATCTGTAAACTTGAACTCAATACTCTAGTATCGTATTCATTGCTGGGATCATTCTCTTTCAATCTTCCGTAAGGCACTTCACAAGCTTTGGCAGCATTACTTCTAAAATAAAATAATAAAAATAAATTATGATATTATTGAAGTTTGAACTGTACCAAGTATTAGAGAAAACTAAATCAAAGCAAATTCTATTAGAAATTGAAGAAATTGATTATTCTACGTTTAGCTAACAGTCAAATATTAGGTGTACCTGAACATTGAAAACTCACACTAGTTTCAATACAGTTTAAATTGAATAAAATTAGACTTGATTTTATTGCAAATTTGTAAGTACAATAATTTCGTTATTTTTATTACTTATCAATATTAGAGAAAAATATTCTATTATGAAATAATTCATGGTGCAAATCATTTCGAACCTTGCAGAAGTACATGAGAACCGTCGTCCTACAGCCTTCCAATCATCAGAGTTACTAATTGATGAAAATGATTGCTTAGATGCATTCAATTTATTATTTAGACTAGTGATATCATCCAATTTAGCTGCTGATCTACATTCCTTAGTTGACATTCTGTTGTGTAACTTAGCATCTCCTGACTGATTTAAAAAATAGAATTAAATTTAAAAAAATACAATTATAATTAAAAACTATAATTAATATCAAATTGAAGTCTTAATATTTAATATGGTTTTAACCTTTTGACTTTCTCTATGCAATGTATATGATTCTTGTAATATTATATTGTTCGTATCATAAGGAGCAGTTCGAAATATTAGCTGCCCTTCATGTAGAAGGCTTTGACCAAATCCAATATCTTCGTTTGGTTTATTTATACTGAAATAAATAATTATTAGTCAATACTATCATCTTATTTTTTTACCTAAAATTTAAATGGCGATAAAACAATATGAATATATTTATTACTTGTACAAAATGAAAAAGAAAACTTGTTAAACAATTTTTAGTTATCTAAGTTTTAAGAATGCATAATTCATGTTTTTGAAAAAAAAATGATTCATTTTTCAATTTTGGCATAATGGTCAATCTATAGAGAAGCTATGTATTCTTTGCTTGAAACTCATTTTATTTTTAATAATATTATTTTATAGTAAGTTTAAATAAATACAAAACTTAATATTTTATACAGTATAAAATATATAATAAACTTACCAAAAAACTGCAACATTAATTCCATCTTCTTTGTCTTGTGGTTTTGGTTTAAAAAAACATGCACCATTTTTATTACTGCCAAAGAAAGCACAGCCACCAAGACATCCGCAATGGGGATTTTTTGAATTATCTTTTGAGACACCTTCATCTTCAGTGGTCCACAGAAACCATAAGCGCTTCGTCTTTTTATCATGTGTTCTTAAAAATCTTAAAAATAAAACAAAACTGTATTTTTAAGAAATATTGCTTGCAATTTTGGGAATTTGATAAAATTATACAATTTATAATGCATCACATTTCATATAAAGTTAATTGTATGTGAATATATATTTTTACAAATTTATATATAAGATACAAATATACATAAGATAATTGCATTAAGCTATTTGTACAAAGCTTTTTAAAACAAAGATCCACAAAATGAAGACAGAAAATAAAGACTGCTGCTTTAACTAAAGCAGATATCAATTGACATAAGATTCCAGAATAAGAATATAATATGATCATACTTATGTTGAACAATATGTAAACTATGATCAGGAGAAGGCAAAGAAGTTGCAGCCTCTATAATAACAGGACCAAAAGTCATGAATCCCACTTCCAGCCAATGTTCAGACAGTTCATGGCAACTTCTGAAAATTAAAATAATAATGACTAACTTGATCTATGAGTTGTGAGTTGTACTGTTTTACCTGTGTTCCTTATAAGTATAATTAGATCGACCACTGCTAGTAGTATTTGTATTGCTATATGAATTACTGAAATGACTATCAGCAGATATAAATTGCCTGATCAATATTAAGGGCAGCATTCCTGTTATACCTGATTTTACTTGATGACCATGCAAATTACAAGTAGAAAATCTAATAGGAGAGATCTGCAAAAATATGTTAGTAACACAACTAACAATGCACATCATTGTAAAGTTTTTGGTATTTACCCATGTATGTAGTGCAGTACCATGTTCCACTAAATACATATCTACAGCATCTATCGCCAGTCTAACCATTCGGTATTTGATATCTTCACTTGATGGACATCTATAAAACATAGTTTACAATAAAAAAAATTGAGATTGAAAGATTATAAAATTAGAAGCTTCTCTGTTAAAAAATATAAAATATCATGATGCCATTATTAGAATCAAAATTAAATAGTTTCTGAAACATATAATAAAACCAGTAGTGGGGTGGGTGGCATTGTGCCTTAAGGCAAATTGCTGAAACTTCCTGTACCGTAACGAAATGTTAGAAGAATACTGAATGTTTTCAAATAGATTATTATAAATATTGTAACATTGTCTAATATTTATAAGAATTATATAAACTGAATTGCAAAGTTGAAATTATTTGTGAAGTATATTAGAACTATAGTCAGAATTAAAAATAAAATCTGAATTATTTTTGATATACAAAAAATTAAAAAAAAAAAAAAAAAGTTGAAACAATTTTTTTTTCTTCCAAAATCGATTATTTTGTTAAGACAAGCAGAAAGTTCTTTGAATCAATTAAATCGGACGCTTAGTTCTCTCAAAAACTGCCATTTTTTGTACATTTAGCTCTGTATCTTCGAAATGGCTGGGCCTGCCTATGCGAAAAACTAATAACCACTTCTACCAATCATTACTAATTGAATGTTTTTTAGATCATTCAAATCAGATGCTCCGTTCTCTCAAAAACTCGATTTCTAATTTCTGCACTCTTTGCTCTTTATCTCCGTAACTGCTGAACCTGCCTTTGCCAAAAACTAATCAGCACATCTCCTTATCAATAGGAATCGAATGTTTTTTGAACCATTCAAATCGGTTGATCCGTACGCCCGAAAACGTGGACGAAAAATTGTATCCATACATACATACATACATACATACATACATACACACACACACACACACACATCCATTTTTTCTGAGGTATGCCAAAATGTTCAGAAACCTTCAAAACGTCGAGAAATGTAAAAATTTTCAATTCCGATTTTCGTCCCATTACAATAACTTACCCTACGGGAAGTTAACTAGTGGTGTATGGCATAGTGCCTTGCGGCAAATTGCTGGATTCGAATATATTATTATAAATACCGTTGATATACGGATGATAACGTTTATATAAGTTTACATGAAAAGTGAATGAACAGAACTTAATGAAGAGGAGTTAGGAATGAAGGGTTCATATTTCTAAGAATTTTATAAGCTGAATTGCAAAGTTAAAATTATTCATTCCAAGTATAAAATTGAGCTTTAGAATTTCTAAATAAAAATTATTGAAATCGGATGCTCTGTACTCCCAAAATCTTAATTTCTATTTTCTGCCCTTTTTGCTCCATATCTCTGAGACGACTGGACAAACTTTTACCAAAAACTAATTAACACATTTCCTTATTAATAGGAATCGATTGCTTTTTGAATAATTCAAATCAGTTGTTCCGTACGCCCGGAATCGTCGACAAAAAATTGTATCCACACATACACACACACACACACACACACGCATCTATTTTTTTCAAAATGTTCATAAACCAGAAATGTAGATATATTGGATGATTACAATAACTTACCCTACGAAAAGTTAGTTAAAAAGATGCAATTAATTTATATTTCTAATATTACTTAAATTTTTTGCTATACTACACTACTACTGAAAAGATTTATATACTGAATAGTTAAAGTCATTCAGTGTTTACTAATACTTTTACAAATATTCAGATAAGGATTAATTTCATCAATTTAATTATAAATTTCATATAATTAAAAAACAACACAGTGTAATTAAAGATAATACAAAATGATATATTATATTATAATATATATATACATATATATATATATATATATATATATATATATATATATATATATATTTAAAATATATTTATATATATTTCAGTGAACCATTCTTCACTTACATGATATTAAAAGATTTTAAATGATAAACTATAAATTTACTACGTCATTACTAATAAAGTAAAGCTTATGACAATACCTGTATCGAATTTCATTAATGGAATGTGTGCACATATCAGATGCTACACCATGATGGCAAAGTCGCACATTGCTTGGTGGCCTCAAACAATTCTCAGCATCAATTACTAATAATACTAATGTTTCAAGCCCAGTAATTATATGACACAACTAAAATAATAAAATTAACTATTGAGATTACTATTTAATCAAACATGTATACAGTATAAATGACAAACCTGTGGCATAGTAATTTTTCCAGAAAATTTGCCAAGTTGTGCTTCAACTAGCCAGGCATATTCCAACGTTTCATCATCCAATGAACAACCTTCATTACTAAACATTGCATCACCACGAACCTATAATAATCAAAGGAAGCATTTATATATATATATATATATATATATAATATATAAAATATATATATATATATATATATATATATGATTTAGTAGTTAATTTTGATGTTGAAATATGTGAGTGAGTTCTTGAGGGCGATACATCAAACAAAGAAAAGCCAAAGATTTATAAAATAATCTTTATTTCCAAACGTTTCGACATTCAATTTAATGTCATCATCAGTGGATATTATGTTGGTTGGTTACATATAGAGAGGTGTACACAGCACTAGAGATTGGCACTAACATTTATACAACTAACTTGTCAACACTATGCATTTTTTATATATAGTTTTTTTTTTATTTTTAGATATAAAAAATGCATAGTGTTGACAAGTTAGTTGTATAAATGTTAGTGCCAATCTCTAGTGCTGTGTACACCTCTCTATATGTAACCAACCAACATAATATCCACTGATGATGACATTAAATTGAATGTCGAAACGTTTGGAAATAAAGATTATTTTATAAATCTTTGGCTTTTCTTTGTTTGATGTATCGCCCTCAAGAACTCACTCATATATATATATATATATATATATATATATATATATATATATATAAAATTTCCAGCATTCTATTCAATTATTAAATAAAAGTTATGAATTTGTCCAATGTATACATTTGTAAATAATTATATGGTTTTACAAATTAATAATAGAAATTGAAAAAAAAAAAAAAAATTAATTTTTTTTTTTCAAATCGAGATGGCTTACAAGAAATATTTACTCAAATTATACCTGCAACGCAGATAGCATTAAATGACCTTGTTGCAAATGTTTGTCTTTGTTCATCCTCACATTGTTATCTGCACAAATTAAAAATGATGGTGATAGCAAAAGCTGTAATCTAGTTTCACGGAATGTTTTGTGCATTTCAAAACCTAAGCGTTCAATTATTATCACTGGACATGGAGGGTCCTCAGGATTGCAATTCTAAAATATATAATTAATTTTATTATATAAATTAAAGATTGAATAATATGTAATTAGCAATATGAAATAACTGTTAATAAAATTTTGATTGTATACATAATATATAGACTACGTTACCTTTACTAAGTGAGCTTGAATATCATGCATTGTTATAGTAACAACAACATCTAATGGTCTGTACATTCTTGGATCAAATTGATTTTTCTGCATTCCGTGAAATTCTACATTTATTTCAGGCACATTAGCTGAATTATCTGAAGAATTCGAAGTGTTTTTTTCATTTTGTTGTGTACAGTTTTGATGCATGTCAGTAAATGTTTGACTGTCACCAAAAATATTTTCCTAATAAAAATTCATCAAAGATTAATTTAAACATCACAATGTTGTAAAACAAAACATCACAATAATATAAAATTGTTTCTATGCATAAAATAAAGTAAAGGGTATGAACGTGTTTGCATCTGCCCCACACCCATTTAAATGAATTTGATGCCATTTTATAGGTCTTTTCGAAAAAAAATCTGATATATCAATTTTAAACAACCTAGCTCATCATTTGATCAAAATATCATTGAAAATATGCAAACTGTAAAAGACATTGACAAACAAATAATGCTATTCTATTGCCATTGATCTGGACTATATTATTAATAACAAATAGTGTTAAATAGTTATTTATTAGAGCATATAAAAGTGAAAAAAATATGTTCTGAATTTTCGGGTAGTGTGGTTGTTTGGATTAATTTTTAATTAGCATTATTAGAATGAATATTCTATTTTTCTTGTACTATCCAAAATTTTCTATTCCGTGTGGTAGAATACATTTAAAAGTTGAAAAAATCTGAGCAAGTACACAACTCGTGCTCATAGTCGTCTGTAACACCAATGTAACACCAATGTAAGTCGTCTCTCAACTGTATAAATATAACATAGTATAAGATAAATTAATAGCCATATCTAATTAAAATTGAATTGTACTTCATATTTATTTTAAAATTTGATGGCTTCATTTTAGATATTTTCATATAAATGTAAATTTTTTAAATTATTAGTATTTTATATACCTTAAGATGAATAAAGTTTCTAAGCACTGATCCATATGCCAATAGAACTGAAGGTCCAATTTCTAATTCAACTGATATTTTATCTGGAGGAAGGGCTTGGGGATCAAAATTTTTGGCTCCAGGCTGGAAATAAAAATTATTAAATAAGGTCAAATTGTTTTCTGTACAAGTTAAATACAATTTAAAGACAGCCAATAATAATAATAAACATCACATTTTCCAAAAGTTGAAGAAGCGGTTATTTTCAGTAAAGGAATAATTTAATTTAAACAAATAATGTTAATATTTAAGTTATAATAAAATTCAAGAAATTAGTATGGTCAAATATCAAACCTGAAAAAAAATTAGACAAACTAGAACACACATCATACAAAATGTTTTAATATGATTTAAGGGGGTCTTCTTCCTATGTGATGGGTTGAAAAAATCGATTTTTTTCTTTTTTCATATTTCGGTAGATTAAACCTTTAAAAATAACATATTAAAATTTCAAATCGATATCTCAAATAGTTTTTGAGTTACAGCCATTTAAAAAGTATACATATAGTATATAGTACAACGATCATTTTATCTTTAACGCGTTTTTCTCAAAACTGTGTTTTTCAAACTTTCCTCCATTGTATCTCAGAAACGGCTGGACCGAATTACTTGAAATTTACAGGGCACACTCAATATATTTAAACGCATGAAATGAACTATTATCAATCGAAAATTTTCAAAACTTCGATTTTTTTATAGCAAAATACAAAAAAAAACGCCTAATTTGCAACTTTTATTTCAAATGTTTATCAAAAATCCAATTTTTTTTATATTCATTTGATTATAGGTCATTCCGCGCTTTTAAGCCTACAAATTAAAACGCCGTTTATTTTTTTGTTTCTGATAAGCCGATCAGCCGGAATCGTGGAGGAAGTGGGTCTTTTTTTCGAGGCGGGGGTGTTCAGAGCGCTGTAACTCTAGTTTGACTGAATATTTTTAGCTGAAATTTTATATTTATACTGTCCAAATATGTGTTAATTAATGATAAAAAACTTGAAACTCTAAATATTTACTGGTCGTAGAAAAAAAATCCTAAAATATCCCTAAAAAACAGGCCGTCACATAGGAAGACCCCCTTAAATATGAGAGAAATAGTACAGAAAAATAAATATATTAATAATATTTTACAATTATCTTGGCAATTTTAATCATTAATGTTTCCATATTAGCATTAAAATTTGGCTATATACTTAATAAAAAATAGCTAATATAATTATATGTAACAAACTACCACTAAATAAAAATTGACATAGTAATTTATGGCGTTGCATTTCAAGATAAATCACTGGAACTATTGTTAAAAAAAATTGTGGGTGAAAAAATAAATGAATAAAAATTTGAAATTAAAAAAAATCTATTTTTTAAAAATTAGACTCATTCACAAAAAAAATTGAAATGTTTATTTATTTTTTAAAATTTACCTATTTATTTTTTAAGATTTAATTTATGATCGTATTGTCTTCAAATAAGAAGATGTATTTTCAATTTTTATGATATATTTAAGGAACTCTTTGAATGGTTAATTTAAATATTTTTTTTACAAAACATAACTAACTTGAGTTTTCCAATGAATAGCAGGTGACTTTTGAAATTTCGGTATTCTCATGGGGGATAGCAGAATTTCTTCCTTCTCCGGTGTTGTTATATCTGCCTGTGGATCAGGTCCTAGTGGTGGTCGAGGATGATAAATATAATTAATACTAAGTGCTATTATAGGAACTGACCAACAATCAATCCACCCATTGCTAAAAAATAAACAAAACTTTAATATACATTACATAGTGTTCATAATAATTTAATATTTCTTTAAAAGTGATACAGATGTGATACAAAGATAAAAAAATATAGATCAAGCGAAACACAAAGATCTAAATATTTAATTTTGCTTCACCTACACCTTTCACTTCACACTACTTTATCATATAAGTAGTGTGTAATATAAAATGTCCATTAAACCATATATGTTATTATATATATTAAACCATATATGATTAGGTATTTCAATATAATCAATCAGTACTACTCTGAACATTAACTTTAAGGTAGTCCGCACTCCAACTAAAGTCTCTTATGAAAATAACATGGAAAAAATTACTTTTGTTTTTTAAAATGATATAACTCAGCGAGAAATAGTAAAGTATCAAAAGTAACAATTTGTTTCATTCCTTTATTGAAAATGGGTTCAAATTTTAATCCTTGTTTTTAGGTCAATGCATGGGACATCAGAATTCATTTTACATTTGGTTTCTTCACCAAAGTATCTTATTTTCATACAAATTGACCAGCTCTAATATATATATTTCTATATATAGCTTATGCATAGTATAAAAACTTACGAATTTTGACATATTTTTCTCCATTTTTTAGTATTAAATGAATTACTATTTATTGGACCATTTCTTGATAATATTTTGGCATTTGAATGAAGTGCTAATATAACAGGACGACTAGTAGAAATTTCTGGTAAATATAAACTTAAATCTAATCCTTCACCCTGAAATTGTAAATATCAATAAAATTTGCAATATATTGCATGCATGCATATGCATCCATTTTATTTTAGGTAACTTATCCTTAAATTTTTTATAAATAAGTATTTTATATTCTAGTTTATTATTTTTTGGAAATGTATAATATTTACCTGTATCCAAAATCGTAAGGGAATGGTTTGTGGCAGAAAATCTTTAAATGGCAAGTCAAATGAAAAATCAAACAAATCCCCGCAGAATGCAAGGTGACAGTTTTCTTGATGTGTCGAACTGCAATCGATCCAATTATATTCATTACTCATAGTAATTATTTCAAATTCCTTTAAAAGAAGTGAAAATTTCCAAGTGTATGGAACGAATGTTAATAAGTCAGGTCTTTGTTTACTAGCCCAGTCATTAACAAGATCTAAAGTAATGATGAAAATAAAATACAGTTGGATAAAGCACTATATGGTGAAAGAAGTGACATATGGTATAAGCACCTTGAAAAAATTCTTTATGTGAATATATAAGATGAGCAGTTGCCTTACAACCTGTAAGATGTAAGGTCCATTCTTGATGTTGATTCCATCTCAGAGGATAATGACACTTTACACTAAATTCTAATGTTTCACTTTCAGCCAAACTTCGATACTGTAAATTTAATGACAAAAAATAAAATAATTAGTTATGTAATTATAGCATTCTGATGATACTTGTATATCTTCATTTGTATATTGAGATATCAAAATTTGTTATCTTCACTCACTCTTGAACTATCTAAATTTTATAATATAAACAGAAAACGTATAAATTAAAGCCTTAAACTTATCATAATTAAACAACTAGTTTTATGTATGTATGTATACAAAGATTTGATATGATAATCAAAACAAATTGAATCTACTTGAATTGACCAAGTATCAAATTAGAACATTGTTAGTATTAATTGAGTAATTTATTGGTATTAAAAGTGTAGAAAAAAAATATTTATTACAGAGTTGTAATAATATGAATTACCATTTAATTTATATTATTAATTATTGTTCATAAAAAAAATTGTTTGTACAAATATTTGACTACAAAATAACTCTTTAAATTTAACCCAAAAATAAAAAAAAATAAAAAATGTGACTAATGAGACCAATAATAGTCTAGTTTTTATAAACTCTTAATACAAAGTAGCAACCCTTCTTTTGTAATATAATTTGTTTCTCATAACTAGTGATGATGATTAATGTAGTAAAAGCATAAGCATAAAATACATGTTAAAATAATATATATTTCGACTACTATTAATTAAAAATCAAAAATCTTTAAATCAAAGCCACATTCTAATTATATATTTAAAACACAAATGACAGAAGTATCTTTGGTGTGAGAAAATATTAAAAAAAAAAAAAAATGTTCAAATGTATACATGTATAAACATAATGATTACTTTCTCTATTGCCAGAACCAAGTATTCTACCGATGCAATTCAATATGGTGCACAAAATACATGCTTGATTTCTACAACCTTGATGATTAAATAACAGTAATACCCTGCTTTGCACTTTTGCTTTAAGCTCGACATTAATGTAACTAAACAACCACACTAAGTTGGGTATTACTATATTTTGAGTATATTAATTCAGTTTAACTAGCAACCGCACAAAATTTCCTCAAAATCCCAGATGAGTAATTTTATTTATTTTGTTAGAGTAAGAAATAGTTAAGAGTTACTTGTAAGCTAGTTGATGCCTCCAAATGAAGAAGCTGACCATTAATTTTAGTGGTAAAACCTGTAGGTTCAATCATCCAAGGTAATGTAATGTCTAAGTATGAACCAGCTCCAATATTCACATGAACTGCATTAGTCTCCTGGATTACAAATAAAGACAATAAGTGACATTATTTTAAAGCTAAAATATGTATTATGCTGCTTATTACCTTATTTTTTGAAAATAGAATATCAATGGTAGCTTCATTTAATGTACTCAAACGTATATCAAAATTTTGCATTTGTCTTTTCTCACCAGGTTTCGGAAGCTCGGTGGCCTAAACAAAAACACAATTATTTATAGAGTGTAAAATAGCAATAAAAAATTATATCAATTAAATATATGTAGATATAAAAAATTACATGCAATTACTAATTGAGTACAAGATATGTATTTGATGACTACAAAAAATATATTCATTGTATATAAGAAACTTTAAAAATTTAAATAAAATGCTAACCTTCATTGATTGCCAGTCATTTGGAAAGAAAAATTTGAATAAATGGTCTCTCTGTCTATCTGCCCATGGTCCATAGCTAAAATCTGTTCCTGCATATATATATATATATATAACATTTATAAAAATGTATAAATACACAAACACACACACACACATATATATATATATATATATATATTTATGGTGGTCCTTAATATAGACATTTACGAATTGGCTCAATTGGTTACAAATTGTTAAAAAACAATTCTCTGAAAGTTTTAGTTCTAAATATTAACTTTTAGATAGCGCGAAATTCACTCAAACCTCGTATGGAAATAGCTATAGAGAATTGTTTTTTATCAATTTGGAACCATTTGAGCCCTTGGGAGCAAGGAAATTCGAAAATGTCCATATTAAGGACCAGCTTAATATATATAAATATATATATATATATATATATATATATATATATATATATGTAAGTATATATAGATACGATAATAATAAAATTAAACTACCTTTTCCACATTTAATGTCAACTCCCCACATAGGTAATGATGGTTCGACAACATCACCGTTAGCAAGATGACTGATTCCTGGTTGTTCAGGAACTATTCCTGGTTCATCCATATACAGATATAATTCTATATAATTTGAGCTCATTATTACAAATCCTTCTCCCATATATCTATATAAAAAAAAAGATTAATAAAAATCATTTTCCAAAATGATGTTTTACTCATTTTTTTTTTATTGTTTATAGCTTGTTTCAACAATCAGATTATATTTTATACAGAATATTATAATGTAATAAATAATATAATGAATGCTAAATTTACAAAAAAAAAATGATTAAAGAATCAATCCTCATAATTCTGAAATGACTCGAGACACTGCAAAATATTAAAATTGAACATTATATATACTATTTATTTGTACAAAATTATGAAAGCAAGAATATTTATATAAAAAATAAATATAATTAAATTAAAATTTAAAATTTTTAAATAATTCATAGATAATGTTTTAATAATTTTGCAAAAAAAAAAGGTTTTGTTGCCAATATAATGTAAAAATATTTTTGTTTTTGTATATGTAATAGTAAAAGTTAACTAACATAATCTCCAATTCATATTCTTTTAATTTACACTTGATAAGCATATTAATTCTAAGTAAAAATAAATATCAATTATTTTTGAAATGAGCTTGACCCAACATAAGATTGAATCTCATAAGCAAACCTATAGTTTGCTGACAAGATTTAGTTGTAAAAAAACAAGTGATGGGATTTAGTTGTGATAAATATGAGTAAAATAAATTCTTATATAATATCTCATAAAATCCTTTAAATCGTTCCAGCATATTTATTCACAGAAAAACAATTTTTCACAATACTAAAAGTAACTTACATTTGTTATATGTTATTTTTTCCAGTCTTACAAATAAATCCATTAAAATTTTATTTGTATGATTGGAAACTACTTAAAAGATTAGAAAGTTTTTGGAATAAAGTTTATTAATTAAATTCATACCTGGGTGGTTCATCAATCATCCCAGTGTAATTAGGACTATTCGCTAGCATGACCTTACAATTATCGGCTTGACATTTCACAAAGTGCATTAGATAATCCAGTGGAGATGCTGCAGGTTTTGTGCTATATAACAAATGAGCTTCTTCTAATCCTATAGATAATGTTGTGGGAATCAATTTATTTCCGAAGACCACGCGACCCTGAATGAAAACATAAACAGTTATAATAATTAAACATTTTAAAATAAAGATTTTTTCACAACATTTATTTTAAAATTTATTCAAAAAGTATTAACTGATTTTTTTGAATATGCATGTGGCGCAAGTGATTGACATAAATTGTTTATCACTTATATATATATATATATATATATATATATATATATATATAAAAGATAAACAATACCATTTTTATTTAAATTATGACGACTTACAGATATGATGTCAATTTTTATAACAGGTATCAAATCTCTCCAAGTTTTAGCCATTGTTGCTTCTGGTCTAGATTTATAAGCTGCATTTTTTATTCTTTCTGAAATGTAAATTAATTTTAATTTATTTTTACTTTTTATCTATAATAGATAATGATTACATAATTTAGATTTAAATATTGGTACCTGAAGCATTTAGAGTCTTCTCTGATGAATTAATGATATCAGAAATATGATCAAAATCATTCTAAAAAAAATTACATATATTAGTTAATAATTTCTTTAACTTATTTTAAATTAGTTTGTAATTATGCAAAAATATCAATACAGTATATAGCAACTGTAAAAAAAAACAACTTTCCAAATACATATTAAAACAACACAATTGAAACAGTTATTATTATAAAACTTACTGGTAAAAATATTGATGGTTCCAAACCAAATGTCTTTTCTAATTTTGCATATAGACGAGTTCTATTATAAACATGCAGTTCAAATCCATTAAGTAGCATAGAAAGTCTCGTGTCAGAATGACTAAGATCCTCAGAAACATCTTTAGGGATATAAGATCTCCACCAGCGAAAAATAAAATAACCATCTTGAATACGAACTGTAAAATCACTTTGTATATATACAAAATCTCGAAACATTAACTTGCCTGCCAATGGACTGACTGTAATTGAACCTGTAGAAATTTGCAAGTTTATAGATATTGCATATATATATATATATATATATATATATATATATATATATATATATATGCATATAATTATTGCAGAATATGTTCAAAAACTGTTTGATTTTAAAATTCATACAAACCTAGTTTAAAAAATGTCCCTTTGCTAATAAATTTATTAACCATTCTAGTAACAATATACCCAAAAACTCTGGAATTATAAAAGGTTATGTAGACAATCCAAACCAATGCTGACACTAAAGACCCAATCAACCACATCATATTCGAATCCATTTTAAGATCCTCAAGAAAAACATGTTGAGTATAACGTGTCTCATTAATATCAATCTCCATGATGGCAGTTTTTTTAGACACTAATTTGAAAAATTTAATACTTGCGTTTCAAATAATAATTCTCACATTTTCTGAAAAAAGAATGGTTTAAACATCCAAAGTGAATTCTTTTATACAATAAAGATTATAAATTGTGAAAATTGTGTAAAATTTGAAATTGTGTTATATTCTATGATAAGGTTATTGAATACAAGAGCTCCAATTATAAAAGATTAGATAAATAGTAACTAAAATTACTCACTACTGATACTACTTATTTTTATTATTTGTTCATATGACAGTTATCCTCATCATAATCGAATACAGTTTTAACATATTTATTGTTAACTCGTGATGACGGTTGATGTAGTAAGAGCATAAAATACATGTTAAAATAATATATATTCCGACTACTATTAATTAATGTTCCGATAAATATTGAATAGTTTTAAAATAGAGTATTTAAATCCACAAGAACAACATTTCTCACAAACGTCAAAACATGAGCGTTAAGTTGACCAATAGGAGCAATAACACCAATAGCGCACAAAATAAATTCATGTTTACCAACTAAATTACAGCTCGCAATATGTAATTGTAATTCATCAAACGGTTAAGTCAATTTAACATTCATAATACGTATACACTCTCACACACACACACACACACACACACATATATATATATATACATATATATATATTTGAAAATAAAAAGTAGTAAAAAAAATATTTCTTTATTATTATACGTTTTGATATTTGAGGTGTGTAATAATTCAGTAATCACCAGGATAAAAATACAAAACTAAATTAAATATATTTTTTTAAGGAATTCAACACATATCTAAAACTTTTAAATAAATAAATACTTCTTTATACATAATATATACTTTCAACAGAATGTTATACAGTATTATGGTTAAACTTTTGATTTTAACTTGAACACAAACTTGTATTATGGTTTAACATGATTAAACTTGAACTTACAGTTTTTTTTTAAAAATGTATTTAATTTATTAACTTCGGGTAAGTTATAGTAATCGCAAAAAAAATCGAAAATGAATTTTTTTATATATCTTTACATTTCAAAACCTTCTGAACATTTTGGCATACCTTTAGAACCATAGATAAAAGAAGAGTATACAAATTTTCGTCGACGATTTTGGGAACACGGATCAACCGATTTGAATAGTTTAAAATTTTGTATTGATAAGTAAACGTGCTGATTAGTTTTTGGCGAAGGCAGGTCTGGTTGTTCCAAAGATACGGGGCAAAAAGTGCCAAAAACGGTACTTCAGTTTTTAAGAGAACGGAACGTCCGATTTTAATAATTCAAAAAAGATTTTACTTGCATTGATAAGATAAAGAACTGATTAAATTTTTGCGATCAGGCGTATTTTATATATAAACAAGCAAAGAAGAATCTTACGATAACTGCACCATCTAAAATTCTATTATCATAACATTATTCCTTGCTTGTTTATATGTGAAATACGCCTGATCTATCTATTTGCCGTGCAACATAGATAGACATTTTTGCAATTTTCACTATTAATAAACAAGCATAAGACAACGCTATGTTATGAGCTCTGTTATGGCAGAATTACCCCATAAGTCTATCCACTGCGATGACTTTTATTTGATATATCGCCTTTGAAGAACTTACTCATATATGTATCTCAACATCTTAAAAAAATTGCAAACTTATTAGAATAACACTAACACATAATAATGGCAAATAACAAAAGTAAGTAATTATAAATAGCACCATATAGCACTATTTGTCAGTAGTCAGTTCATAAAGTATGTTATAAAGTACAGTCAGTTATAAAGTTTTTTTTTTTATAAAAATGTTGAGAAAGTAATGCGACCGTTCGAGGCCAATTTATAGTCTGTGTAATAATCCAATTTATAAAGTAATGATTACTGAAAAATAGTGCTATGATGCAAATTATATTATGTACTTACTTGTTATTTGTCCTTATTATGTGCCATTAATATATCACACATCTTCAGAATGATCATCATCAAATCTAGATATAGTCTAGATTAAGCTAGATATAATTTAGATTAAGCTTATATATAATCTAAGTGTGATTTTGATCGTGGCTTTTGTTAAGACTTAAGTTATATAATTACAGATACGAATTTGTTCAAAGTTATATGTCGATTGTCTATCCATATTTCAACTCCAAACGTTTATAAAAAAATATAAAATAAAGATACCATTATTATATTTATAATTACACCATATTTTATCATTATAAACAAAAGTAACATTAATATTAAGTATAATATTAATTATTTCTATATGAAAATATATGCACAAACTGCGGAATAGTAATTGCAAAGTATCTTTAGTTATTGGTTAGATCATAGATATTTTTTTTGTTATTAAATGTTTTCAAATTAATATATAATTTTTATATTACAATACGAAATAATAATGTTAGTTTTATTCATAACAATATATCACTCTGACAATATAAGTACATTTAATTATTGATTTACACTTTCTCAAGCAATTAATTAGAATTTGTCTTATTTATTCATCAAATCTTAAATCAGCACAAGTTGTTCATTATTTATTAAAAGGCCGTTTTGATTGTTATGGGAACCTTTTGTGCAATCTGTTCCCTCTTCTGTTTAATGCTTGTGGTATAAGTACAGGAAGATGTTTGCAAATATATATATATATATATATATATATATATATATATATATAGATATATATATAAAATATTCTTACATATACATATGTTTCTCATACATATATTCTTTTTTTGCCTTTTCATAATTTATAACATATACTATATTATTTAAGTATTGGATATTTCCGATGAAACGAGTGCATACAAGTATGTATATAGTATAGCGGGGCTTAGAGGTGCGCGGTAAAAAGGGTCCACCACCAATATCTCAAAAACAAGTAAAGTTAAGAATTTTTTAACAACATTATTTGAAAAGATAGGTAAAAAGATGTGTAACCAGCCAACGTCTTAAATCAAGCAATGTCACTATCAGGAGATATACGGCCCCGATTGAAAATCTATAACAAAAGTATTTTCTTTCGTTGTTAGTAATTTTTGGTTGTTGAGCACTGTTGTTTAATTTACGAGGCCTAAATATACGTTATTTGATTGTTTTATAAGACGTATTATTGATTTTAAGATAGATGAGATAGATTCAACAGATGTTATTATATAACCTTTAATATAGCTTACATGTGGCTGGGGTTTAAAGGACCAACTAAACCTTTACTCTAAAAAAGCGTAAACAATGAAAAATAGCAAAAACGTAAATTCAGTTTAAATAATTCATTTTACAAGTAATAAATTAAATTAATAGTTATTCCAAGTTTACTGATAAATATTTCTGGCGAAACACCAGATTAAGGTTTTATACATAATGAAATTTTTGTAAAAGGCGTAAACAATGAAAAATATTAAAAACGTAAATTCAGTTTAAAAAATCCGTTTTACAAATAATAAATTAAATTAATAGTTATTCCAAGTCTACTGATAAATATTTCTGGTGAAACATCAGATCAAGGTTATATACAATGAAATTTTTGTAAAATATGTGCCTATGAAATTTATATTTTGCATTTGTTAAATATTGTAGATATAATTTCGTAAAATCCCTTGAAATAAGACATTGAATCTGTTTGTCCCGTGTCTGTCCCATTTTACCCCGAATGAGTAAATATATATATATATATATATATATATATATAAATGAATATATATATATATATATATATATATATATATATTCAATAGATAAGTCCTGGATTTTTTCAATATATTGATTGTTTCTTTTCCGAACAGTAAATCCAATAATAAAAAACAATTTGTTTTTTGAAGATGTTTAATACGACGTTTCGGAACTAGGTACGTTCCATCATCAGGTTTATTCTGTCAAATACAATGTTTTTTTGTTTTGTTTAATCAATATTTTTTTAAAAAACATTGTATTTGACAGAATAAACCTGATGATGGAACGTACCTAGTTCCGAAACGTCGTATTAAACATCTTCAAAAAACAAATTGTTTTTTATTATTGGATTTACTGTTCGGAAAAGAAACAATCAATATATATATATATATATATATATATATATATATATATATATATATATATGATATTCAGTTTTCAGGGCAATACATCAATTAAAAAATTTGTATGACTTTAAAACGTTTTTATTTTTTCCATACGTTTCGACACATAGTTTTGTGTCATCTTCAGTGGACTATGTAATTGTAATAATCCTAATTATTTCCTAATTGTAATTCATTACCAAGTCATTCAAAAAATTTATTATTGTTACATTTAAAGTGACAAGAATTGGTTTTCATTGTGCATTGTGAACAATTACAATTAGGAAATAATTAGGATTATTACAATCAGTGCTGGATTTACAGTAGGGGCAATCGGGGCTACTGCCCAGGGCGGCAAATTTTTGGGGGCGGCAAAATTTGGATAGTGAGGAAAAAATTCTATACAATATAATCAACTTTTTTGAACAACATTTTTTATTTCAAGAAATATAATTAACAAAACATAATACGATTGCAATGCAAAATTTGGGTTGAAATAACCGATTATTAAAATTTATTATTTTGTCTTGCCTCCCTCTCCAAACGTAAATTATTAAATTGGTTAATAAGTCATTATCAAATTTGGCAATTTGGCTAATATAAAGATCCGTAAACAAACTGAAAGTTTAAGAAAAATATTTTCTTCAGTTCTCGAGCCCTCTTAAAATGACGAATTTCTGCACTTCCAAGCTTATAGCGTTGAAAAAAAAATTTAAACTAGTGACGCATGGCATTGTGCCTTAAGACAAATTATTGAAACATCCCGTACTGAAAATTACATTTTATAAAAAGCTTTAAAATTGAAAAAAATTGAAAATGAAAAAAAAAAGACTTTTAAAACACATTTTTTGTATTTTGAATTTTTTTGAAAATTATGAACTTTTTGCAAAGCAATCGCGCTGCGTAGCTGTTTCAGAGAAGAAATATCGAAACTCAATTACCATTTTTTGTAATTTGTGCCAAAAACTAATCAGCACGTCTCGCCATCAATACCAATCTAATATTTTTTAATTATTTAAGTCGATTTCGGGAACACGGATCAACCGATTTAAATGATTCAGTTCCTATTGTTAGGGAAACGTGCTGATTAGTTATTAGCCAAGGCAGGTCCAACTGTTTTGAAGATACGGGCCAAAATGCCAAAAAAGATAATTTAGTTGTTGGGAAAAAAAGCGTCCAATATCATTCAAAAAAAATTACAGAATAAATAACTGCTTAAATTTGTGGGAGGCAGCTTTAGCGGTTTTGATGATCCAATAAAAAAATTTGAAAAAGAAACATTTGGTGGACAAAAGTGATCATAAGACATATGCACATCAAATTATCAGATATTTTAAAAATATTTTAATAATAAGTATGAATTTTGTTTACATTTATATGGGTTATATAACATTGATTATTTGTTAGACTGCTACGCGGCGCTTACGCGCTCCTATATTTTGTCCCTACGCAGCTGAAGCAGCGCGATTGCTTTAAAAAAAGTTCGAAAGTTCGTAAAATTTCAGGGATGGGGCGGCATTTTTGTCGGTGCCCCGGGGCGCCAAATTTCTAAATCCGGCCCTGATTACAATTACATAGTCCACTGAAGATGACACAAAACTATGTGTCGAAACGTATGGAAAAAATAAAAACGTTTTAAAGTCATACAAATTTTTTAATTGATGTATTGCCCTGAAAACTGAATATCACATATTTCAACATCGAAATTATACAACAAATTTAATATATATATATATATATATATATATATATATATATATATTTATTAACCTTATGGCAGTTCAATAAAAGAAATTTGTACATTGCATAACTTTAATAATATTTAGCACTTTGAACATCTAATTATTAACAAATTTACAATTTTCTTTATTATAAAAGTTTATGATTTCAAATTGACGATAAATATATTATGGACAATGAATATATATTATTATAGTATCACGTATCAACAACAAATACGTCCAAAAATAAAGTAGAATGATTTCATGGTACAAATACAGAATAATTGATATGGAAGTTGTCGCACTGTTATTTTTATGTACTTCTTTTTATTGATTATTTAATAAAGGAAAGAAATTTCGTCGTAAGTGAAAGACGCTTATTGTTAGTAAATATTATATATTCGGATCATCAATAATGATGTGATCATGAATGATGAAATATGATGTTTTGATCGCATCGTATGATTCGTATGTGTAATATGAGAGGTTTGGCTGCATGATGTTGTGATGTTGTACATGCCCCGGTATCCTTCGTCCCGATATCCTTCCCTTAAATTATAAATCACGGCAGTGTGGCGCCCTTGCAGTCCATTTGCAATGTGTCAAACGCGACGGGCAACGTAGGAGCGAGAGGGCAGACGCGCATGCCTACTCCGTAGCGTCTGTCATCGACTAGGGGTGCTTTCTTTAGTTCCCTTTAGCTGGATTTCGCGGTACTGAGTTCGCTTACCCCACGGGGTGTATCTTGCGCTTTGTGAAATATATTCGAAATAAAATGTGGCAATTAATCGAATACGGGTATAGTCATTCGACGATTTTATTGCACTTGTACAAATGTTTAAGTAGAGTTAAAGCAACGTTCTCAATGATAATATAAACTAATCGTTCAGACTCTCTATTTTGGATTCGTTTAGATATTATACGTATTTGTTAAGCTCGGATTATCTCGGATTGGGTACTGTGATGCTTGACGATAGTGACAGTTGTGAATTATGTGATAATTGGAATATAAACTCGATAATAGTGATCGGTTAGTGCAACTTCAGAAATGAGACAAATTAAACATTTTTTTGGTTCGCACAAAACATACGTGAAACATATTAAAATCGTACATTTTATAGGAAGCTAGTTAAACATGAAATATAATGACAGCTGTTAATACCGTAATATATCCTAAATGTTGGTTTAGTGCTAATTAAAAATATGTAGGTTGTAATCACAAAACATGTTTTTGAAATCATTATATAGGTTCAATGTGCAATAATAGTTATTAAGTGCGAAACGCATATAAAATCGGGGTTTCAAAATAATATCAAATTATGCATTTAATTCGTAACAAAATTTCGGTTTTAAGAAAACACTGCTAACGTTACTTTTAATTGAAAGATAAAAAGCATGCGTGAACGAAATTTGCATTTAATTATTATATTTAATACATATTCAAATTGTGTATTAAAAATGTTAATTTATGTGCAATCATAACTATTCGATACAATGAAGGAACAACGTGTTATTATTAACATTTCGCTCGTGCTAGTTACCAGTTGGTTCGTTGGTTCAATATTAACAGATGAATTATCAATACGCTATGAGGCACCCGAAGACTGCCAGTGGTGGCTACGGGAACCTCAGAGTTCCGACGAAGTCGCACTGATATGCAAATTACGAACGATAAACAGCGAAATAGATACGACAAATTTTAGCGTTATCCCTTCAGAGTATACCACATCGCTCCATATAGAATGCAGTGACACAATACTTGCAAAAAGTTCTTTAGACGAACGTGGTTTCATACACTTGACTCGTTTGAGAGAGTTGACTTTGCTGAATTGCAAATTAGGTAAATGGTCAGCTGGTGCACTAGAAGGTTTGCGCGATCTGCGCAACTTCACACTGAAAACAAGAAACACCGATCTAGAACCGCTAAGTTTAGAAATAGACTCCGGTAGCCTTTCGCCTGTTAAACAATTAGAACGATTAGATCTTAGTCAAAATAATATATGGAATTTTCCGGAGAACCTATTTTGTCCGCTAGCAGCTTTATCTTCCTTAAACGTTAGTCACAATCGCTTGCAGGATATTGGAGATATCGGTTTCAGGCAACGACCTCAGAAAGATTCAGTGGCTCCAAAATGTGCATCAGATGTTCAATCCTTGGACGCTTCATTCAACCATTTCGTATTATTGCCAGCACATGGTTTCGGTACTTTACGAAGACTTCAAGAATTGCGACTGCACAATAATGAAATATCTGTCGTTGCTGATAAAGCTTTAGACGGAGTGAAAACTTTAAAAATATTCGATTTATCAAGTAACAAGGTCGTCGCCTTGCCTTCTGAATTATTTTCTGATGCCTCTAGTTACATTCAAGAAATTTATTTACAAAATAACTCGATAAGCATTTTGGCACCTGGTTTATTTGCAGGTTTAAAACAGTTACAAGCTCTTGATTTATCAATAAATCAATTAACAAGTGCTTGGATTGATAAAAATACGTTTGCAGGATTGATTCGCTTGGTATTATTAAATTTATCAAAAAATAAAATTTCAAAATTAGAACCCGATTTCTTTACAGATTTATATACATTACAAATTTTAAATTTACGACATAACTTTTTAGAAAGCATACCTGAAAATGCTTTCGCTCCTATGAACAATCTGCATACATTGTTATTATCGCACAATAATTTAAAATACTTAGATGCATATTCACTCAATGGTCTGTACGTGTTATCCCTATTGGCACTAGATAATAACGCGCTTAAAGACGTTCATCCTCAAGCATTTCGTAATTGCAGCACTCTGCAAGATCTTAACCTTAATGGAAATAAATTGGAAAATGTACCTATAGCTCTTACAGACATGCGACTCTTGCAAACCGTAGACCTTGGAGAGAACACGATAAAAAATCTTGAGGAACCTGGATTTAAGGGCATGAGCAACCTTTACGGCCTACGTTTGATAAGCAACATTATAGAAAACGTAAGTAATACTGTATTTAGAGAACTACCATCGTTACAAATTCTCAATCTCGCACGGAACAAGATTCGAAAAGTTGAAATAGATGCATTCGAGACCAATTTGAATTTACAAGCAATTCGTTTAGATGCAAATCAGTTAACAGATATCGAAGGCCTATTCACAGACATGCCTGCATTGTTATGGTTGAATATTTCCGACAACCGTTTAGAACATTTCGATTACTCACAAGTGCCTAAAGGATTACAGTGGTTAGATTTACATAGAAATAAATTGACTGAACTTTCCAATATACATAATTTGGAAAATTCTTTATCACTGCAAACATTAGATGCAAGTTATAATCAACTCACTACTATTACCATAGCTTCATTACCGAATAGTATTGAACTTCTATTCTTAAATGATAATGCTATAAAAACTGTAGAATCTCATACTTTTCTGTGGAAAACTAATTTGACCCGAGTAGATCTTTACGCGAACCAAATAACGAGCTTAGATATAAATGCATTGCGCATTGCTCCCGTACCGGAAGACGCAAAGTTACCGGAATTTTATATCGGAGGAAATCCATTTAAGTGCGATTGCACTTTGGAATGGCTTCAACGAATTAACCAATTAAATTACTTACGCCAGTATCCGAAAGTTATGGATATAGATAATATTTATTGCAAGTTGCTCTATAATAAAGATCGTATTTATGTATTGTTATTAGAGGCAGAACCGTCTGATTTCATTTGTGCCTATAAGACACACTGCTTTGCTTTGTGCCATTGTTGTGACTTCGACGCTTGCGATTGTGAAATGACTTGTCCAGATCGCTGCACGTGCTACCACGATCAGTCTTGGTCGGCAAATGTTGTGGATTGTTCCGGGGCTGGCTATGCAGGCATGCCGTCTGGAATTCCGATGGATGCAACGGAGGTACATTTGGACGGTAATGATTTTGGTGAACTGTCCAGTCATTCATTTATTGGACGAAAAAATTTGAAAATTTTGTATGTGAATGATTCAAATGTTGTTGCCGTTTATAACCACACGTTCAGCGGTTTGAAAAGATTAGCCATTCTACACTTAGAAGATAATAAAATTAGAAAACTAGTAGGATTTGAATTCTCCACATTAGAAAGTCTACGAGAACTCTTCTTGCAAAGTAATAAATTGTTATATATTGATAACAGAACATTTGTTGAATTAAAAAATCTCGAAATATTGCGCTTAGAAAATAATCATCTCACTAGTTTTAACGCTTGGCAATTGACGTTAAATCATCAATTAGTTAACATAGGATTATCAAAAAATCCGTGGACATGTGATTGTAAATTTTTAAGACGTTTTCGTACATACATTCAAGCAAATGTTGGCAGGATTAAAGATGCTGATAAAATTTCCTGCGCTTATAACAATTTTACAAAATTATTAGAAGCTGGAAATGTCACTTCGTGCACTGCATCATCAGGAGAAAGAACGGCCATATTGCATAATCAGGGTGATGATTTATTCCCATTACTTCTAACCACTACATGTGCAGTAATAGGTTTTATAGGAATATTGTGCGGGGCGTTTTGCTACCGTAGAAAACTCCGCTCTTGGATTTGCGGTTTCTGTGGGTACAATAACGCGCCTTTTGACGAAGATGGTGATAAAGACAGATTGTTTGATGCTTACATAAGTTACAGTGCTCAAGATGAAGCGTTCGTAAACCAATTGCTTGTGCCCGGTTTAGATATTATATATCTACGCTTGATAATTATAAATTTACGCTTTCATTTTGTTGCATTTGTATTATCGTATGTAATAGTTCATAAGTACTTTTTCACAAAATCTACATTTTGAATGAACGATCGAATTTACCATTAAATATAAGGTTTGAAGATAATAAGATATATTATTATAAGATTCTAAAATAAATTTATTATAGCATTTTAAAAATAAAAACGTTATGTAATACTTACTATATTAAATAAATCGACAAAAATGTTCATATAACGTTTTATTTTTAAAAAATATATCGACATCAAATTTATTGTAATGAAATTATAAGCAATAAATATTATTGTTTTCTGTCAATGCATTAATCTAATATTTATTTTCACATCGCATACCGAACAAAATTTCGATAGCGATATGTCAAAACTAATTATGGATTATTACAATCAAATATCAGAATAATTTTTTTTTCATTGACTTATCTATTCTTTATCTATGAGATATTAGTAATTGGATTTTCAGTCTTGGGCGTGTGTCTTATAAAAATTTCAATACTTGTAAGTTTTTCCGATTAATTGATTTATTTGAAAGTTTATTTGAAGTTTATTCGTTTATTTGAAACTAGTTGATTGATAGAATTTTTTTTACATTTCAAAAAAAGGATTTAAATTTTTAGTAAATGTACAGTACGATTATAAAATTTAAAATACTAAAATCACCAATGAACGTAGTTAAACTTAAAATAGTATTTTATAAATACTTTTATAATATATATTTTATATCTTATTGTTAGTGAAATACATGTTATTACGTAAATCATTTTGCTTTATGACAGAGCTTTACTTATTAAATATAAATAAAAATAAATTTTATATAGATTATGGATAAGAATATTTATCATCAGCGAATAGTACCTATATTTTTCATATTTGAATTAAATTGCGAAAAGATAGTATTTGAAATTTTTCGAAATGTACGTAAAATATGGTGTATTAAACTTAAACAATGACTTGCATCGCATTGTTTCACTTTGTAGATTATAATATAAAAAATATATATGTACAAAATAAATGGAATAAAATAAGGAAACCCATTTTTAATACTTGTAAATGTTATGTCTGTTAAAAAATATGTACGGAGTGCAAATTATGAAGTAGATTTCGGAATAAAAAACGTTGGCCAGGTAACATATATGACGAAAAAAATAACTAAAATTACCACAAATCATAAAAAAATAATTCCAATAAAAACTGCTTAAATTACTTCAATGCACATCAATTTTGATAATTTCTGAAGCCACCCATTCCTGAACAATCATCAGCATTTGACATATGTATATCAAGTTATTAGTTTTTTAAAGGGATTTTAATACTATGCATGTTTGCACTCAATAAAGATGGAAAAAGAGTTGCAAAAATTATAATATTTTAATTATCATTCAGAAAAATTTCTAGTTCGAAGATTTTTTCTATTTTTCTCCCTTGTTTGCAGTTTGACACCTAATTTTGACTTCAGATTCGTGTTCAACGGTCAAAAATGCATTAGAAAACTTATGTGTCGCATCTAGAGCACAGACAACTTTTTTGTGGACCTGTGCAATATTTATTATTATTTCATATTATAAGGTAGTTAACTTTAAAATATCTTAAAGAATTGGCAAATAACTATTTATTTACAAGAACATATAACAAGTATATTCTATACAAATAAATTTCTCTGACATTAAGATCGAATATAATGAAATTATATTGAAATTATTATATTTTCAATATTACATAAAATAAAAATTAATACTATTCAACTACTAAAGTTTATTAGAATCTGTCAGTCAATCTTTATATTCAATTGAAGAAAGAAATGCTATTACTGCATTTCTACATTTGTAAATCTCTTAATAGTATGCAATTATCCCTCTCTCACTAAACTAGACTATATACAATAATATAAAATTCATTCATTCAGCATGTTTAGTACGAAAAAGATTTATTTCTAATAAATGATAGATCCTATGTGTAATGAATGAAATCAATAAATGTAACGCGTATTGGTACATCTATTAAAAACAAGATCATTCTGTATTAATATATTAATAATCGACTGCTTCGTCATTAGCCAATTTGACATAGCATCTGAAATTGAACACTAAATTGTTAAACTAATATCAGGCATCGTTTTTTTAAATAAGAATTGGTCTTAATGCTGTCATAACGAGGAAAATTTTCAAGAGGAGAATTACCTAATGATGTTTTTTCGGGCCAACAGCTGTTAAAATCCAGAACACCACTCACACTACCTACCTTTACTAATATGTACCGCGAGTTTTGAACATTTGCTGGTTGTCAGTTTCCTAAATAAGTAATATAATATAATACACGTAATGCAGCATCAACTTGCAAATGTATGGCACAGAACTAATAACTAATAAATTAATAACTTTAATAAATAATAAATCGCGACGCCTCCACATCTTGGGTCTTATGTTGATGAACAAATTACTTCTCATGCAAAATTGTCCCATTTTTTTTTTATATTATGAAATTTTTTTTATCATATTACTTTATAAGATTTGTTTTTTGTTGATAATCCTAAGTTAACAGGTTGTCGGCCGACCATTCCGATCGGAGTTTTAGATAGAAATAATTTGTTGCTTTATTAACATGTTCACGCCGGGGTCAAAATTTTGGTGTTTTGCTGTGAGGCGGCGCGTGTTTATTCGAAATGTGGGTCACCAGTGGCCCACGTCGGCGTGAACGTGTTAAACATTCGGATGTTTTCTCGAAATCCTGATTGAAAAATTATATAATTATTTTTAGATAATTCAAATCGGATGCTCAGTATTCACAAATACTCGATTTCTATTTTCTGCACTCTTTGCTCTGTATCTCCGTAATGGCTGGATCTGCCTTTGCCAAACTCTAATCAGCACATTTCCCTATCAATAGGAATCGAATGCTTTTGAACCATTCAAATCGGTTAATCCGTGCGCCCGAAAACATGGACGAAAAAATATGTAACTTAATTCAAAAGGTTTCAGTTTTTGGGTAAACAGATTCAGCGATTTCGGAGATACGGAGAATAAAGTGCAAAAATGGTCAAATGGTGGTCAAAGGTGATAATTGTACGTATGTATATCGATTTATCGAACTAATAATAATGTTATGTAACATTTGCACAATATTTTTTATATGAACAAAAACCAAACCCGAAAAAATAATAATTGCTGTTGATGATAATTTTTCGATTATATTATCATGTGTTTTTAAATTCAAATTTCTCAAAAAATTAATATTATTATTTATTATTAATATTATTATTAATATTAACCTGATGTTTGTTTGGATGGAAATGAAAAGGCCTTAAGGTACAATGCTAGCACCACTAGTTTCATATTGTTGAGGAAGTTTATAGCAAACCGTAAATATATAGTTTTTTTATTCGATAAATATTGGATATTCTAGAGTACAAAATATCTTCACTATATGTTATTTGAATGTGGCGCATTTCTGTGCAAATCTCGACAAATGGGCTATGATAATTGAGAGAGGGGTTGTTTACTAAACTAAGACGTCACGCAAGCGCTTTACGTTTAATCTCAGTGCGTCTGTCAGAGCAATTTTTATCACGATGATATATATGAATACTCCAATATTGCCTACATCGCATTTTTCCGCGCAAAATAATTGACACCAACATCAGATGTAGAGGGTAAAGATGATACGCGGGCGCGCATACTTGGTATTTTCATGAAAACCGAAAGCGTTCGGAATGAGTTTTCAACCAGTTAAGAGAGTTATATATAGAAAGCACAAAGTATTATTACTTAACGTGATTTTTATATATCCAATATCCGGAATGCCTATTTTTTATACTACAGTTTTATATTTGAGAAATAAGAAATCTAATATCAATTTCCAATTGTGTTATGTAATATGACCAGCAACTAATTCAAGAAATTTTAATTATTTCATCCGAAAAAGGTACTTTTTTTTCAAAAATTGTAAAAATCTCAAAAATCCCTTTTTTCAATTTTTTTTAAGAAATTGAATCTTTTTTGAAAACTTTAATTTTGGTACGGAAAGTTCCAGTAATTTGTCTTAAGGCACGATGCCATGCACCACTAGTATGTTCTTTTATGCGTCGTCCGGAAACCTACAGGATATTCTTATATATATTACCAAAAATATCATTGAATTCTAGCGAAGGAGCACATTCACGTGAAAAAATATCCAAGTCTGGCAAGGAGCGCGGGTTGCGCTCGGCACGATTCGCGCAATATTGTTTATCTGGGGGTAACAAAATACACTAAGTTCTGATATAAATAATTAAATCAAGTTTAAAAATCGAACAAGAAATCCCTATTCTCTTATTTAAATCATTTTTTTCTTTTCTATTCATTAAACTTCGCGTTATTTTCTTTCAATCGAAACTAATAATAAGTGAATAAAGATTAATGAGTCAAAATTAAGATATAAAATCAAAATAAAATGTGGGCTATCCACAATGCATAATATAAGACGTGACAAAGTCCTAGAATAAATCGATTGCGTGGTTTGTTTTTCAAAATCCATTCTTATAATAGCAATTAAATCCTTCAACTACAACTATATTACACAGGTGACAAAAAAATGTTTGTAGTGAGAGTGCGGGATACGTTTTCCAATGAAGTTTTTACCGCAAAGCACGAATCTGAAGTCAAAATTGGGGGTCAAAGAAAAATAAATTGATTAAAAAAAAACTACAAGATGTCCGATATAGTTTTTCTTCTACGTAATAACAAAAAACTTATAATTTCTGTCGTTTCCTAGCCTTTTTATCTTAAATAATTATTGAGTATTCACTATATATATACGATATAAAATGAATGTTCGGATTCCGCTTTGTAATTAAAAATTAAAAATGAATGAATTAATGTAAAGCGCGGCAATAATATATCTAAATCTAGAATATTTAAATATGCCATTTGAATTTAAATGAAATGAGTTTCAGATAAAGTTGCCATGACTTATACATAAGGCCCAGAAACATTTATATGTGGCATGCGTTGTAGTTCCAAATATGCAATTTGTATTAGCAGACCCTTTCACATATACATCACACTAATATTTTGTATGACTAAACAACGTTGCCGGGTCAGCTATTATATATATATATATATATATATATATATATTCTTGAGGATTTTTTGTTCGACGTTGAAAAATATTGAAATGAATAAAACAGCCAATGCGTCGAATGTAGAAAGTTTATTTTAATTTTTTATACGTTTCGAGACTAGATGTGTCTCATCATTCAGCTAAAAGAAATTTCTTTAAATATCATTCAAAAATCACGAAATTGTTCCATATGTTTTTTTTCTTATAAATTACAATCTGTCTAAATAGAAAGACATTGAGTAATTAGTTTGACAAATAACATATTAAATTTTAAAAGGAAAACCCAGTGGTTCACCTTTTATTAATGTACTAAATTATATTTCAATTTTGGTATAATAAAGAGAAAAAAAAGAAACTCAAATATACATACAATTATAAACAAAGTACATTACACAGACTACATATACACATACATACACACACCTGTTTTAAATAATATGGTAGAACAACTTATTATTGATTAATGTTAATCTATAAATTTGTGATTATTGTTAATCTATTAATTGTATTCTTTTTAATCTTATGTGTGGTGTTGTAAAGACTTGCTATCAGCTCGTTTGGATGATGGTCAATTTTACTCTTGAAATTAAGGGCACTCTTTTTAATTTCTTCACTGATTGTGAGTGTATCGGTGTCTTGGTGAATTAACCATGTCCGTACATTGTTCCATATGTGGTGTCAAAATATTGGCACACAGTAAAAAAAAACTGCATATGCCATAATAAAGCAGCAAAAAATAAACAGAATAAATATTTATTCATAAAAATAAATGAATTATTCGTGTCAGTGTACGCACTCCTATTCTAATACAATAATATTGATCAACAGTACAGGCTAATTTGAATGAAAATCGCTTTAATAATTTCAAATCAAGAATTTATTGCACTATACAGGGTATACAACATGGTATAACAATTTATAACATACCTAATAAACACACGCATACAAACGGCACAATTATAATAACGCAAACAGTCTGTTACACTTTATTGAGGGCATTAGGTTTAAAATGGTTCACTACGTTCACAACCCACTGGGACTCCACCCCTTTTGTGAACTCGCGCAGAAAGCGATAATTACAAATTGAAATCTTCTCTGTGTATTCGGGCAGCATTCTGCAAATTGGGAAGAAACCATTAAAAGAAGCAATAGTCAAAGTTAAATACAAGCAAATTCTAATTACGCAACCCATTAATATATAAGAGTAATAAAGACATGTATGTATGTGTATGCGTACGTGTATGTGTGTATGTATGTGTGTATGTGTATATTATGTATATAAAGCTTTTTAACAAGCATCCATCCAGATAAAACAAAAAACAGTTATGTTTCTAAAAGGATTATAATAAGCTTTAATACACTTTGAGTCCCAGATTATTCAATTGGTAAAATATACAAATCAATTTCGATTACCAACTGTTGATTTTAATTTCAATTCTTCCTTTTCATTTATATATTAATTTATTTTTTTTATATTTTTATTCTTGTTCACAAATATGACTGTTAATCAAGTACTGTGCTTTATTTAAATAAGCAATAGTAATATGCTTTCTGTGTTTTTTTTCAAACAATTTGCCGAAATGGGGTTCGAAACGTTTAGAAGAACAAATATATAAATACACACATGTGTATATATATATATATATATATATGTGTGTGTGTGTGTGTATATATATGTCAAAAATTAAGAAACGTGTCGATAATAATTTAAATGAAAAATATAATTTTTTAGTAAAACTCAACTATTATTTTTTTCATTCTATTTACTACCGTTATTTTTTACAGCTGCCTCAACTGTAATAGATTTATTTAGTTACAAACATACGTTAATTTTTTCAAGCAAAAATGATAGAAGCCCTTAAAAAGGAAAAGATACAATAAAATTATAAATATTTTTTTGCTACAACTAGTTCAAAGTTTTTCTATGCTTTTTAACAAGCATCCATCCAGATAAAACAAAAAACTGAGTTATGTTTCTAAAAGGATTATAATAAGCTTTAATACACTTTGAGTCCCAGATTATTCAATTGGTAAAATATACAAATCAATTTCGATTACCAACTGTTGATTTTAATTTCAATTCTTCCTTTTCATTTATATATTAATTTATTTTTTTTATATTTTTATTCTTGTTCACAAATATGACTGTTAATCAAGTACTGTGCTTTATTTAAATAAGCAATAGTAATATGCTTTCTGTGTTTTTTTTCAAACAATTTGCCGAAATGGGGTTCGAAACGTTTAGAAGAACAAATATATAAATACACACATGTGTATATATATATATATATATATATATATATGTGTGTGTGTGTGTGTGTGTATATATATATGTCAAAAATTAAGAAACGTGTCGATAATAATTTAAATGAAAAATATAATTTTTTAGTAAAACTCAACTATTATTTTTTTCATTCTATTTACTACCGTTATTTTTTACAGCTGCCTCAACTGTAATAGATTTATTTAGTTACAAACATACGTTAATTTTTTCAAGCAAAAATGATAGAAGCCCTTAAAAAGGAAAAGATACAATAAAATTTCATAAATATTTTTTTTGCTACAACTAGTTCAAAGTTTTTCTATTAAATATAAGTACTATCTACTCAATACATAGTTATAAAATCGCTAATAATATTACTAGCACTAACAATAAGAGAAAAGCAAAATTTACGCACGTTATGAAAATGGGAAATTTCGTATCATGTACGTTTAGTACATTATAACTATACTTTAATAGTTATAATAATCGTTTATTTACTGTTATTTGCACTTACTATAGTTCATGCAATAAATTTAATTGTCACCAACGATGTACTAAATACAATAAAGAGCTCTCAAAAAGTTCAGCGTTTATTTCAAATACCACATTGAATTTTGGCGAGCGGCCACCTATAAATTTTTGTTTATATTATAGAGATATATTATACTATAAATTGTATATGTTTTAGGACTGATGTTTACTAATCGAACGCCTTTCGTAACTTAGCATCTTCCTTTTCAGTGATTATTTAAAATAAACAAACTTTACATGCTTTATATAAAAAGTTAATATTTTATTCAATTTCACGGAAAAAAGAAAATTTCTAAATTTAGACTAAATTTAATGATCAACAAATAGTGCACTTTATCTATTTATTTTATTTTTGGTTATTTTACGTTATTAACTGAATCTTTAATTTTATTAAATTTTATCAACTGATATTTATTGTTTAGCAGTTATCTTTTTATCTAAAAAATATATGCTGTTAATTTACGCAGAAGTTTAAAATTTCATATTTCAGACCAATTTCATATTAACTCTTACCGGTCGGAAGTCACCTGTGACGTGACAACAATATTTCGAAAGTGGTTAAAAAAAATAAGTATAATATATATAAAAAATATCCAATGCATTTTTTTTATTAAAAGTGATTTCGCATATTTATTGAGACCAGCTGTGACCTAGTGGAAATTACGTATGAAAATCTAGCAACTGATAAGGGTTAATATCATATTTAGCCAATACATAATTTAGGTACTAATTTTAAGCACATCAATTTTGTTATTGTTAATGCATCACATAAAGAAAATCTATTAATGCGAAATAAGATTTTAAAACTATACGGACCCAAAAGACTCGTTTCTGCAAATGTTGAAAACAGTATCAATGCTTAAACTTGCAATTTCAAGATTCATCTTTATTTCGGTAATCTTGTTTGCACATAAAATAAAATTAATCCATTTAAAATGCATTTCCAAACTTGACAAAAACAGATTATATTTCTAACTTAAATGCAAAATAATAGAATAAAATTTATTATATGTATTTTCTTTATAATTATTATATTTATAATAGTTCCAGCACTGATATCTGAGGTACGTAAAAATGTCAAAAGTATATATATGTAGTAATTTTATTCTTAGCAGCAGGCTATTTACGCAAACACAAAATGAACTAGTGGGGCGCATGGCATCGTGCCTTAAGGCAAATTGCTGGAACTTCCCGTACCAAAAATTATTATTTTTTTAAAAAACGATTAACATTTTTGAAAAAGTTTACTTCTAAAAAATTAGTTTTTTGAGAAACTATAAATTTGACAAAAAATTACTTTTTTAAAAAAAAAATTTTTTTTTGAAGACGAAATTTTTTTTTGAGAAAAATGTTTTCTTCATTTTATCATACTTTGAAAATTTTAAACTTTTTTTCAAAGCAATCGTACTGCTTGAACTGCATAGAGACGAAATGTCATAGCGCGCAAGCGCCGCGCCGCCGTCTAACGGATAACCATTGGTACGGAACTCATAGAAATGTAAAAAAATATACTTATTGTTAAAATCTCTACAAAATATCTGATAATTTGATGTGCATATGTCTAATAATCATTTTTGACCGCAAAATGGCATTTTTTTTTTACTTTTTTCATTAGATCTCCGAAACCGCTAGACCTGCCTTCATGAAAATTTGAAAAAATGTTTTCAAATGAAACTTCATGAAAATACAAGTAAAATGTTTTTTGAATTATTAAAATCGGACGCTCCGTTCTCTTAAAAACTGAGTTACTGTTTTTGGCACTTTTTGCCCCGTATCTTCAGAACGGCTAGACCTGCCTTCGCCAAAAACTAATCAGCACGTCTCCTTATCAATACAAATCGAATGTTTTTTGAATTATTCAAATCGGTTGATCCGTGTTCCCGAAATCCTCGACGAAAATTTGTATCAGAACACACACACACACACGCGCGCGCACACGCACACACACATACATCCATTTTTTCTAAGGTATGCCAAAATACTCAGAAACCTCTGAAACGTAAAGATATATAAAAATTTTCATTTTCGATTTTTTTGCGATTACTGTAACTTGCGCTATGGGAAGTTAAAAAATTAACTTTAAAGCATGTTTAACCCTTTCCACTCGCAAATTGCAAGATTTATATGTATTTTGGCACCGGAGCGGCGGCATCCGAGTGGAAAGGGTTAAAGCTATTTAAACGGGCCAATAGAACTAGTGGTGTGAGTAGCACTGTGTCTGATGAAAACAAATGACTGAAACTTTACGTATTGTGAACTACATAAGATGAATAAAATACTTTTTTTAAAAAACCTTTTTTTCAATAATTGGATTTTTTTTTGAAAAATTTGAATTTTTCATAGATTATCAGGTTTGATATTTTTCGGAAAATAATAAAAATAGTTAAGAATTAACAATAAGGTGAGAAGCCAAAAAGTTTATAAAAAAATAATTATTATTCTTAAAAATCTTTATAATTATAATCAAACATTATATGCATATGTTCATTATCGTAATGTCATTCGTGATCGTCAAATGGTTATTTTTGCTGTTTTTTTTTTCTTCAAGATAATCACTAAACATCGGGATTATTTTTGAAAAATGAAATATAATATATTTTAATAAAAATGTAGAAATACAACCAAAAAATTAATATTAAAATTAACCTTAGTTTCACTACCTGGGTACTTTATATAAACTAAATATTAACTTATATTATCATGTCGTATTGGTGAAAACAAATACTGAAATCTTTTTTTATTTCAGAAAAAGTATGGCAAAAATACCGCGATACTTATCAACTTCAGTACGCGATGAAAAAATCGAGCATAATAGAAGATCAAGTAACTTTCATAAAATAAGATCGTTCACCTTTTCATAACATATAATGTAAATAATAATAATAATAAAAACTCTATTAATATTAATTATTCTTTATTCAATTACACATTTCATATCAAAAGTTATTATTTCACATTAAAAATAAATGATTATTGTCACCAAACTAAAATGACCACAAAAATAATAAGTGAAGTTTTTGCATTCAAAAAAATTGTATAAACAATAATTTATCTAAATAGCTGAATAAAAAAATAGTAGCCATAAAGTTTCGTCAATACCGTTTTTATTAATGACTAATCAAGCTAACGATAATCAATATCAATTGAATCGTTTTTTAAGTTTCAGAAACCGGCACAAATTTTGAATTTGAAAAAAAAAGTAATCGAATAAATGAATTCTTAACTGAATGAAATTATAAAATCGGTTCACGATATCCTTAGGAAACAAATTCAGATCTATTTAACTTTGTATATTTTATTTACTTTTGACAATTGACTAGAAACTATACACTTTGCAGAAACAAGATTTAAAAATAGTTAACGTAACGTAATTAGGACTTGTATTATATTCCTATTTCTAAAACTGTATATCATATTTAATAGATTTCTAATATAAAGATCCTGATTCAGCAGATACGAAAATGTTCTTGCAATTTTTATGTATGTTTCCTTTTTCTATAAAAAAAAAACAAATCTTGTAGCGAATTGTGTATCAAAAACAATTTTGCCATAATTATTTATTAATCATATACTTCATTCCTGGAATATTATTTTCCTAAATATAAAATGTCTAAACCATAGATAAGGAAAGCCTGCCGCTAAACCATTATTTAGTATTTAGGTGAAAATTTTGCAAAAAAAAATAATAATAATAGTTTTCAATAGCTAATAATAATATATGGACACTGAACCTTAATATAAAAGCATAAATCAAAACAAGAAAAAGAAAATTGCTATATTATGTCAGATTCCACAAAATTATAGTAATTAGCTAATTATGCAAGATATAGTAATTCCGTTGCAATTAAAATATAATAGTTAAACTAGCAATATTGAGCATTATATAAACTTTAAATTTCTATGGCAGTCTCATTTAGAAATAAAATATGAGAATATTATTAGATTTTCTGCGAAAGAAATGTGGATTTTATTTGAAAATTCTTGGATTATTTTAAATGTACCTACTATTAGTTATATAAAATTTTAAATTACATTACGGAAAGTAAAAGCAGTAATATTAAATAATGCTAAATGCGACAATCATTGCAACTCTTGATTGAGCAGATTTTCCTTTTCACTTTCACTAATGAAGTTCTGTTCACATAATTAATATATATAATACGTTTAGTGTAAGTTCAAAAATTTATATAATAAAGATAATATTGTTTAAAAATTTCGATATATTGTAAAAAATTGGCGAACAAACAAATGATAGAATTTTATCACTAAAACGCATTTAGTTATTTTAGATGCGTTTATTGCCTATAATTTAAGATAGTGTTTTGAATGCACTGTACGATCTAAATAATTTTGGCAGTACCCCAATTACTAATCCCATATGCCTTCGGTGGCTTGAGTACATACATAATTTTTTGTTGACCACAAGATTTCATAATGAGAATCAGAAATAAACATAAGATATATTACCAATAATTGAAGTTATTTTAGATTTTGAGTGCTTTGAAGTGAAACACTCAACAACAATTTGAAAATAATTTCAAACGTAATAATACTTTAAAAAAATTTAATTAAAACACAACCAAATATAATAACATTCATTAACTGTAATCATTAAAATAAATTATGCTGTTATTTGCAAATTTTTGTATTTCAGTTATTTGCATCAATCAATACCGATCCAGAACACTAAATCAAATTCACTAAATAGCAGTAAGTATTATAGATGAAACATATCCTTCTGAAAGAATGCATGCGTTTTTTTTCGATAGCACCTACATTTAATTTTGTCGAAAAACAAGAATTAAAAGTTTAAATCCACAAAAAGCACGAACATCTTTCAGGCACTCTAAACAGTAAGTATAAACTCTATGAAGATAATATGAAAGCATACTACAAGTACTACTTGCATAATAGATATCACAATCTTTGCTTTGGCATTTCTAAGCCAAACTAGAAGTGAGGCTACCGCCATCTCTCATTAAAAAAATTATTTTGATAAATATGCCATCACCAAAATTTCATAAAAGTAAAATTTTTTTGATTAAATATTAACTAATCAATTGAAATTCATACAAATAAATAAACATGTCAAACAAAAATAATTTTTAAAACTATATGTAACACTTTAATGAGCCAGTGTTTGTTTTTAAAAATGTTTAGCCTCAGATGTTTTTATAATTATAGAAATTATGGCATTATAAATTTTAAAATTACCCCATATTCAGTGGAGGATTATGACCCTGCTCCATCATATCCTTCAAGCCTTTCAATGTATGGAAACACATTGTAATTTCGACCCATCTCCTCTGACTTGAATTGGAACTCTCATCAAAAATAACTCCAATCTGCACCAAATATTATCAACTGAGTTTGTAAAATATAGATCTTAATATGTGTATTTATAAATACCTGGTATGGAAAAGAAAAATAAATATCTTCCTTCACAACTGCCAACTGTTGCCTCTGAGAAACTGACATTGACGAAATAGTTCTTCTCAACTGTGCCAGTGTATCTGAAGCAACCAAACCTTCCAATTCATTGATATCTTCACCAGCAAGTTTAGAAGAAATAGTCTACAAGCAGACAAGAAATTTATGATAAAAAGTTAAAACTCATGAAAATAATTTATGAAACTTTCAAACCTGCAATGCTTGCTTGGATCCAGCAACAAAGTCTGGCAAATTAAATTCATTATCAAAATATGGTCGAATTATTAAATTAGCTAGAACCCAATTCCTTATAGTTTTAATAACTGATGGCCATATAATTTCTGGAAATTCCATCAAAGTGGGTAACCTAGTCTGTTCATTTGCTTTGTCACTGCCTTGCGTCGAGTAATGCCTTAAGCTCGAATAACACAATTTCGATTGACATGAATTAACAACAAAAACATTGGAATTGAAAACTGAATTTACAGATTTTCGGCAGAAATAATTGTCTGTTTTCCATCTCGTGCAACTGACCGGCAAAAAATTGTTCACTTTATACAATGCTTTGCTAACGTTATACAATTTCGCAGTTTTTGTGTAAACCATGTTAGTCAAATATAAAAACAAATATAAAAACAGTAAACATTTATTTGCTTATATTGTTTTTATATAATATTTCAAACTGAATGAACAAAACATATATCCATAGATCAATTTCACTTTGTGCTTTAGATGTTATTTTATTAAAGGTCACTTTGAATAACTGTCACTGAACATAAAATTGACATATGAGTTTTTGGTTAAGCAATAATATTTTATGATGTTTCGAATATCTAAATCAAATAATCTTTTTAGTTTTACATTTATCGTCAGTCCTCCATTATATTCTCCAATATATTTAAATTTTGGTCAGGGCCAACATTTTTTATCTATGGCCCATGACATCTCATCCATGTTTACTTATCTATGATCTCATCCATCTCAGCTCCTCAGCTGTCAATTCAAAATCTTGAAAAAAATAGATATTAACATCATAACATTATGCTTATTTATCTATGGATATTAACCTCTCAAATAAACCAGCCAAAGCAAATGAAAACTGTCTGTAAATTCCAGATGTCCGCTCAAACTTTTGAGGTTAGAGTATGAGATTTTTTTCTTTCTCGTCCTCATGGTCCTCCTGTCATATAATAACAAATATGACAGCCTCACACTTCCATGGCACATGTTATATCGCGTCAAATCGAAATCGATGTTAGTAATAATATGTAAATAAATATATTATTTAATTTGTGTTATGTTTTGTTGATCATATAAAGCATCTATTTTGAGTACATTTTTAAATTTTGCTTTGAACACAAGATGAGCCGCTTTTCAGAAATAATTACCAAAAAGGATGGAGCGTTGCCTATTTTAGGTAAGCGATTTAAATCTGATATGGCAACAAATTGTAAATTGGGAAAAATCTGTTGTTAAATTTCTAGTATTAATTTATTTAAAATTTTAGTAAATTTTGAGAATGGGTCACTATCAACGAACTTGTCCCAGAATTTACACTGTCAGCTACTCATGGATGCTTCTAGTGGCGATGATTATGTTGTAACTGAATCAAATAATATTATGTACAAGGGTATTGTGGAACATTTTCAAAACACGGTGACCATGATGGCCATCAAAAATAAGAAGACCAACAAGGTTATTTGAAATGAATATTTATTGCAGTTTATCGTCTCCCCTTCATGTCATGTACATTTAAAATCCATATTGGAGAATGTGTTGTTAATATCATTATTTTTTTATGAAAATAGGTGCGGTTAATAGAAATGAATAAATGTAATCTTGTGCCTGTTTTGAAAGATTCACTTGATATGCAACTTCAACATAAATCTAAAAAAGAAATGCTCTCATTACTCAATAAGACTTTTGGATCAAAAAGAACTAAACGAAGAACTGAATTAAAAGAGCACATGGCTGTAAATGTAGACGAAATTAAAGAACAATTAGAAAAAACAATTCAGAGTAAGATTAGTTTAAAATTTGTAACATTGCATGTTACTATGAAGTAAAACAAAACATATTATAATATACCTGATTTATTGCAGCCACTGTTGTTGATGACAATGACCTGAAAGTTCCAACTGTAAGTGATTCGTTACAAAATTTGTTTCCTCCTATTCATAGAGATGCAACTACAATTGATCAAGTGTATGTCTTAGACGAACTCGTGGAATTAGAGATAATTAATACATTAAGCTCTGTAGCTGATGAATTCCTAAATAGTGAAATTGAAAAGAATAGGTTTATATAATAGGATTATTGATATTTCTCAGCATTCTTTAATTTTTAACACGTCATTTGTTTTTAGTTTTACAGATTTTGTGGAAGAAAAGTTGATAAAATTGAAAAATTCGGATGTTTCTACAAAAAATTTAGATTGTTGTTTGCTGCTATATCTAGATTCTCTAATTAAATTCTTTACTGAAAACTATAGATCATTAACAAAGAAAAATTATTGTCCTTGCCCTCATTCTGCAGCTGTTAGTAGGCATATTTTAGATACATTTTCAATGCTATCTGCCTCAGGAAGGTATATGTCTTTAAATACACCTAAATGAAATTATGAATAATACAAAAACTAATTAAAACTTTTGTTTAGAACGCGACCGAACAGTATGCGGGATAAAGCAATGGCATATATAATTGTGTTATCATTGATGGTATGTGGCCACATAGTGATGGTAGAAGACATTGCAAAAAGCCTTAGAGTAGGCGGAAAGAAAATTGGTGATATAGCTAATGCAATTGGAGTTTCACAGTCGAAGATTGATGGCAAAAGTGCTTTAGTATTAAAGTTACCTTTGCCCAAAATGACAGCTGTCTTACATAAAGGCAAAAAGAAGCGATAAAAACTGTAAAATGTATATATTTTGTATCCCATGTATGAAATTGAAATATAATTTCATTGAAGAAAAGTAGATCAGAACATGTTTCATCTAAATCAATAATTTTATATTAAAATTCTTGAACTCAAGAATAAATTAGATCATAATAAAATTCATTTATTATAAAAGTAATATTTATGGTGTGACACACACTAAACACAAATTATTACATATTGATATCACATTTGCTGAGTTTTATCTTTTACTTAATTTCACTGAAAAGTGTTGGCATGTATAATATCAAGAGTTAAGAATATTAATCTTAAATTTCTAAATAGAAAATTTATTACAAATATATATTTGTATACTTATATTATTGCTAATATATAAAATCTGTGTATTATATGAATCAATCATTTCAAAACATTTCCATATTTAATGTAAAATGAAATTCGAATCATTTCTCGATATGTTATATATGTAACACTCCTAAATCTAATAAGAGTTAGCATAAGATTCTTCAAATCTCAATACTGCATATGCATTGTGTTTCGCCGTCCAAGCCCCAATCATGCAAATCATTTTATCGGTTGAAATCGAAATAGCTGAATGAATATTTTCTTATAAACAATGATACAAATTTTGAATAATTAAATCATAAGTTTTATCATTGCTAGTAACTTTTATGTTGATGCAGTGATATAAGTTTCTCACTTACTTTGTAAATCCAGGTTAAAAAGACTTTTTCGCTGGTTTAACTTTATGCAATAATATATTTTCAGCAAAAACTTATAATTTCACTTTGCTTTACATTGCATGACTTCTTCCGTGGAATATTTCAATATTTATGGCTCTTAAAATTCACGCTTAAAGTGGTTTTTATAATGAATAATAAGTGTCACATATTTTTTATAATATAATGTAATATGGTCTTAAATTATGGTTAAAATAATGACGAAAAACCAAATCACAAAAGCACTACACGTTATATTGTTAGTTCGGTAAAAACTAAATATGCATGTAAAGAGTTTTTTCATAGTATGCAAAGAATATACACATTATACCGCAACTTTTAATAAAATATGAATTACTAATGAAAAAGTTTAACTTTCTTCTGTAAGTACCTGGTCGACAGATCTACTATTAGTATTGTCCTGAGTTAATATTAATAAATATCAAAGCAGTTTTGAAATATATTATCACAGTTGAACAAAAACATTTGCAAAAGCAAAATAACGTTGCAGGATGTCAGCATTCTGAAACATTTAATGAAATAGAATATATTGTCAAAAACAACGCATTATCACATTGAGTTACATAAATTTTCAGTGAATTGCATAATCCATATTAGAATTCTTCTTTAAAATATCTTCTAAGTAGAAATTATTTTTTTAAGCTTATTGAATTTTTATTGACTAAAAAAATATATTATATTACTTGGTATAAAAACATCCTGAAATGATTGTGCCGCTAAATTATACATATATATATATATATATATATATATATATATATATATATATATACCAAACTATGGTAAATAATTAAAACTACATGTGTGTAAAGACAACAATACCGAAAGACAACTTATGGTATCTTTGCCTTTTTCAAGTCTAAAATATAAAGACAATTATCACTAAAAAAGACTTTCAATATAGATAATTTTCAATCATCCAACAATCAAACAAAATGTATTATATATATATATATATATATATATATATATATATATATATGTATAAATGTATTACGTATATAAAATTTGATATAAATATATAAACGAATATGTACAATGTGCCAATTATTAATAAGTAACTAAATAATAATTATCATTTTAGTAATCCTTAAGATTCTAGTAATCATGAGAATCAAAACAAGCGCTTAAACCGAGAGTACTTGTCAGATCTCCTGTAAACGAGAATTGTAGATGCGATCCTGTATTTACAGTCGCAATTTCAGTGTCTTCAAGTACTACTGGTAAATCAATGTCATGCAAGAGATCAGTGGAAGAAGATAAGAGATCATCTAAAGCTTCTAAATAAGAAAAACTGGTTATATCATAGCATTTTGTAGAATTACTTGTATCATCAAATGGGAGCAGTATATGGCCATCGTTCATGTGTTCACTTTTTAAACTATCACTTTCGGTAGAAAAACTTTGGTTGTGACACAAGTCATCATAAAACGACGCATTTTCTAAGGGATCTGGTGTATCACATGTGGGACTATAAGGCACTTGAGCAAGGACGAGAGATGATAAGGATATACTGCTGCCAGTCGATTCGGAGACATTGGCAGAAACAGACTTTACATTATAGCGTTTCCTTAAACGTTTGCTACTTTTATTATTATTTGTATCATTGCTCAGTACACGTTGAAGTAAGGACTTTTTTGTCCTTTTGATCTGTTCTTCAGTCTTTGAAGATTTTTTGATAGTTTTTTTTTTAGGTCGATACTTGTATCCGGGATACTCTTTTATGTGCAGTTGGCGAAGGCGCTCTGCTTCTTCAATAAATGGCTGACGTGCTTCGTCGTCTAACAATTTCCACTGTCGACCTAGTTGCTTCGAAATCTCTGCATTATGCATGTCTGGTGTTTGTTCGCAAATTTTTCTGCGCTCGATTTGTGACCACACCATGAATGCATTCATTGGCCTCTTAATATGATTTGGATTGTTTTTTTTAGTCTGTAAGAAAATAAAATTAATTTAAGTTCAATTACTCTAGTTCAGGTGGTAATGGAAAACGGTTGAGTGTTATATGAAATTATAAAAAATACGAGTAAAATGTTGCTCATATAGTCGTTTTTCTGTGCTGTGTCGTATTCAAAATGCTGTAATACATTACAATTTATCTATGAAATACTTCAATATTTATGAATCACAATATTGCTAAGACTAACGGAGCTTAGGATCAGGGATGCCATTGGACTTACAATCCAAATCATAACTTCCAGTTTGCACGAAATATACTCTACGTTTTCTGCTACGAAATGCATTCATAAATTGTTAACTCTATTAAAATACACCAAACAAAAATAGTTTGTTTAATAAACTATTCCGCTGTGAAACATGTATGAATCATGACTTACGTCATAATTGCAAACAAATAGCCGCAAATGATTTTAATAAAAACTTTTGCTGATCCACGTTGAAAAATTGTCGGATAGCAATTACATTTTTTAATATTGACATTATTTAATCAACCCGTTTTTACTTTTGCCTAAAATAGTTCCCATGAGTCAAGCAGATTTTCGCAAAGATTCTTCCAAAAAATAAGTGGCAACGTGTAAAGACTCATTTTAAAAATCAAATTTATGATACGTATAACTAAAGTCATGTACACGGCAGGAACCGAGTCGATTCGGTTATGTTAATATAAAATATCAAAAGAATTTAAAAAAAAAAATCATAATGACGAAATATGGATACTACGTCATCAATTCGGTTTCAGAAATTAGTATAGCTTGGCAGTGTTTTTAAATGTTAGTGTGACTGTCGACAAGGTTTGGCATTCAGAATTCCTTTATAAAAATAAGTAAATATGTCAAATCTATTCGAATGAAATTAAATATTAAAATTAATAAAGACCAATCATATCATATTATACTTTCTCTGAAATAGGTTAATAGTCCATCTGTTTTTTTCAACAACTCAATAATTCATCACTACAAAACTGTTTATAATATTCAAATATAGAAATCGATTCAAAATTAAATTGGAGATTTCACATAGATAGGCCCAGAAAGCAAAATCGATTAAAGAAGTAATTTATTGGATTATTTGGAGAAAATCCTATTATCTTTTAATAATAAGTTTCTCATCTACAATATAAGTATAATTCAAAGACGTGAAAAAGAATTTTTACGAAAAACATGAATTCAAAATTCTAACTGAAACTGATTACTGATACAAATTTCATACAATCCAACCATCCGAGTGCTGCCTCAACCAGAAATGAACCTGTGACCTCCTCCCTCACCATATAGAACGCATGTTCGCGGTCTGAAGCAATCGGGCATGCTCATCAACACGCCATCGTTTTATTTATTATAAAATTTATTCACGTTTTTTGTTTTCTTTCGATTTATTAGTTTTATTCTAATATTCTGTTTATTTTGTGTTTATGTTCAATTTTTCTTTTATTTTTACTCCACTATTTTGTCTCATATATATCTATATATCCCCAAAATTACTGAATGTCTTTATTGTAATTAATAGGAGAAATAAAAAAGTCTCATAAGACTGTTCCAGTTTTAATCAACACAAATATTTTTGTACCACCTGGATGTATGAGACATGTATAAATGTATGAGAGAAGGTTCCATTCTAAAGTAAACCAAGGCTATCGAACCTTCATCAACTCGTTCATCTACGAATTTCATCAAAATATTTTTATTGCAGATTTAACCGCCAACAGGTCACAGACATGGTATTATATATATATATATATATATATATATATATATATATATATATATATTATATATAATGAGTTCAAAGAATATGATTATCGAAATGATAAGAATAAAAAACGCGCAAACTGATAAATAATCTAGAACGAGCCCGCAATCTAGAAGCAAGTCCAAATATGTGAACTAACAATCAGATATAATCAAACTGTCTGGAATGACAGAAAAATTGTCTGGAAATTATAAGCATGAAATACACACATTTAATTGACATTTTATATCCAGTAGTATTCAAAGTAATATACTAATTATAAATTATTTTTTCAACAGTAAAGCAAATTCAAAAATGAATATATACATAAGATATTATTAGACAAGGTATGATTGATAATTGATAAAACTAGTGGTGCATGGTGTCGTTACTGTAACTTCCTGTCCCGAAAACAAAATTATTGAAAAAAATTTTGCAAAACTATGAAAAAAATAGATTTTTAAGCAATTTTGAAATTTTTATTTTTTCAATACTTTGTTTTGTTTGTATTTTGAAAATTTTGATAATTTTTTTAAGCAATCGTCCTGCATAGCTGATTTGGAGTCGAAATATCAAAGCGCGTAAGCGCCGCGTAATCGTCTAACGCGTAAATATTTTATACGGAACCCATATAAATGTACACAAAATTTGTACTCTTGAATTCTTCAAATCGGACGCTCCGTTATCTCAAAAAGTGAAATTCCATTTTTCCACTTTTTGATCCGTATCTTCGAAACCGCTAGACCTGCCTTTGCCAAAAACTAATCAGCACGTCTCGTTATCAGTAGAAATCGAAGGTTTTTTGAATTATTCAAATCGGTTAATCGTGTTCGCGAAATCGTCGACGAAAATTTGTATACGAACACACACACACACGCACACACATCAATTTTTCTAACCTAAACATCATCTAAGGTATGCCAAAATGTTCAGAAAACCCGAAACGATATGAAAAAAAAAATAATTTTCGTTTTTTTTGCGATTTACCCTATGGGAGTTAATAAATTGACTTATTTTAGAGTATAGTATACGATCAGTTTGTTCAGATTTCCTTACTATAAAAATTTAAAATGTAAATTATCATTTGTGGTTTATAATACCAACAGATAATTACAAGTGACTTAGAGAGCAAATATGAGAAAAAAACAGGTGATCTCTCTCTCAGGTTGGAGATTTTAAAACTAAAGTATATTAAATAGCAGTTATCGATTACAAACTGGGGATTCGACATAAAATATACGCCATGTTTAGTTAATAAAATAAATAATTGTAGATTTTATAAAACCGGCGTATTGCTCATTACATGCAGATTATTAATCGTATTCATATGTGTATATGCATTTATACGTTTCCAGACAAATAATTATTATAAGGAGACAGATAACAAGTTTGTGAGTCTATCAACTTAATAGGTTTGGATTACCGATTGTTCTCTTATCTATTGACTCTTATAATCATTCCGAAAATTGAAATTATTCAGTAAACAAATGCAATACTCGATATGTTATTGATAATAACCAATAATTAATTTAACAATTCAAAATGTATTTTTAGTAAATTGCGTTCAATTTTTTTTAAAATATATTCAATATATAAATTTATTAAGTATATAGATAAATACAATGCTTATCAATCCAGTATGTATGGCCTCGATATAGCATTTAGCATTTTACACTATGCGTTTATATTATTAACATTTTAAAGGACAATTATATGTTTTTGCCAGAAAATCCGACTTGCTATTTTTATGTTTCCTCGACATTTCAAGAAATTCTGAAGCATCTGGCATCGAAATTGGATATGTGTGAGAGAGACAAAATTGAACCATAGGTTGGGGTTCTCAAAAAAGGCTCCACCGGTTTCTAGAATTTAAAAAACCATATGATGAAAACACAATAAGGAATCGCGTCGATTAGTTTTTTCTTTAGTTTTTGCGATGATCGGTAGAGCCGATTCTTCAAAATTAGCAGAAAAGTGCAAGAATTTTCGTGCATGTTTGAGCCAAAAATCCTGACTAGATTTGAAAAGTTTAAAAACTGATCGAAATATATTAGTTAGAAATTATGCGTAATCATTGTTCATATGGACTTAAAGAGCATCCTAATATATTATGGATCATTAAAATTTACAATAATGAGTCGTGACAAAATTTCAAAATTTATCGTTACAATTCTAAATGTAGCTAAATCTCAATTCGTATTGTTCATGTCGATTATTTAAACATGTCGGGAAGTTTTCGCAAATTGTCTTAAGAAAAAATGTCACTCACACCTACTTCTTTCATTACCCGTTCGACCTACGGGTAATGAGTCAAATATAAAATTATTGCTGCAATATGATGAGATAAACCGAGTCTCGAAACGAAAATTTGAAATACCTAATAAATAAATAGTGCATGCAGGTGGTTGTTAGTTATATATAATATATATGTGTGTGTGTGTGTTGGGTATATGTCGATGTGTTACATATAACAATAATTTAGCGTTCGTGTAAACATAAATACATTCTTGCAGGTACGTTCACAGACGGTCATTATAATACAAGCAAAACGTGATCGCTGGTGTTAGGTTATTGACCCGCGCATTTTCAAAGTCAACAAATAATAAACGCTCAGGGTCTGTCTTGTACATGGTGACGCACTACTTCAATGCTGTTCACGTTTATAAATATTCGTTTACATGCGCTCTCACTTGTGCATATAAATATAAATATATTTTTCTATACGAGTATATATGAGTTTATAGGTTCATTTTGCATATTTCACTATGTACGAAAATCTCGTCTCTTAATTCAGGATAGTTCTAAATCAATCTTCAAATGCGTTCACTTAATTTTTATCACATTGTTTGTATTTAAATTTAACTTTTCTGAAAGTTTTTAATAGATAATTTATTTTAATTAATTATTAACTTTTTATAGTGTACATTACAAAAATCGAATAATTATAATTTTTTGATATCTGCGTTTCGAATTTTCTGATGTTGCATGCTAAAATTTGTCACTTTTTCGGGGAAAAATACCATTTTTTTTTAAATTTTATTTGGCCTCGCTTACTCTGAGCATTTAGCTACCTACAACATTTTATTCATTTATATTCTATATCGTACTATTTTTAACTTCCCGAAGGAGAAGTTTATATTTTCATAAAAGAATCCGATTCGCTAATTTTATGTTTTCTCGACGTTTCAAGCCATTCTGAATCGAATGAGACAAAATTAGGAAATAGTATGTGCGTGTGTGTGTGT